CATTTCATAGGTTGACTTAATGATATTTTGATAGCCTTCAAAATCATAAAACTCATTATGTTTCCTAGCAATTTCACTTCTCCTTATTTATCAGCCAGGTTAGATGTCCTCTGTAACACCATTAGGCACCTTTTATAGTGGACATGAAGACTTGGCATATTTTAGTTGAGAGATAAGAGCTAAATTACTGGAAAGCTTCATTATGAGATACTGTTTTGTTGGTGGAAATGAGAAAAATGGAGTGAAAATATAGACCCGGACATAATTATATGGAGCTATAATGGTATTAGACAGGTCTGGTCGAGTCAGTAATATGGGGATGGGGCGGGGAGTTGGAACCTGCCTCTCCTATGCTGCTTGCCATGTTAGAATCTGCTCAAATCTAAAGAATAAGCATTTAGTTTTCCTGCTCTATTATAAATTTGGTTACTGGAGAAAATTCCCTGGTACATTACTGAGTGTTAGGCAGTTTAGACTGTAGTTCCTAGCATCCTCTTTGAAGCTGTGCTCTATAGAATTGTAGCGTTGGGTGTGTCCAGACGGCCCTGGCCTACCTTTCATTGTGGACACCTTCAGTCCTGGTGTGACCCCTCGTCACCTGGGACTTCCTTTTCAGACCAGCAGGCTCTCTTGCCCAGTTTTTGCTGTACAGATGCAACTTGTTCTCACAGGTGTATTATGAAACCTAGCATCTTGAAGCGACTGTCTTGTTATGTCTGAGTTAGACCTATGCAGGTTTTCCTTAGTGAGGTTACTAGTGTCGAGAGAGAAGCGTTTGCTTTCTGATTGTGCACCCATCACTTTTGGGAATCTGAGTTGATCACTACTGATACCTAAAAGGTGTCAGTGCACCTATGCATGTGTGTATGTGTGTGTAACGTGCACGAATCTTCATTTATCTCTTAGGTATCGTTGCCTCTTTCATTGATAACAAAATACCTCTTATAGTCCTCCTGCTCCTTTCTGATTCTATTCTCTAGAGCTTCTATGCATTCATCCATTTGTTACTTGGTAATTCATGAATCTGTACTGGGTTTTCTTTTGGACAGTTAACCAGCTCCCATATCATGACATGAAAACTTAATATTAGTTATGAATTTTTGACCCAGCTTAGGCTCCTTTCTGGTTAGCTCTTTTAACTTAATTTATTCTGTTTCTTTTTGTTCACCTTTTGCCGCGTGGCTTTTTACTTTTTCTTTGTGTGTGTCTTACTTCCGCTGTTTCCTGTGCCTGGCTGGCAGCTGCCGGGTGCTTACCCCAGGCTTGCCCCTGGTTCTCTCCTCCTCTCCTCTTTCTCTTGTTCCTCTCTTCCCCCCAAGCCTACGTTTTTCCTGTGTGTTCTCTCTGGCTGCCAGCCCCACCTACCCTCCTCCTGCCTAGTTCTTTATTAAACCAGTCAGGTGCATTAGGCAGGGAAGGAGAAACAAACACAACACACCCTTACACCATGAAACTGTCAGTACTTAGCTCTGAAGGGAAAGGTACCCTGGCAGTTAGAAGCCCCAGAGTACCTGCAGCTGGGAACGGAAAGCTATCCCAACAGAAGTGTTACAGCTGTGCTCTGGTGGGGAAGAGTTTCCCCAGCTCCAGGAAAGGTTTCCCTGCTGCAGGTGCAATGAAGCTTCTCCAGCAGGGGAGGGTTTCCCCAGCGAGGCTGCCATGGCTCTGCTGTGGAGAAATGTTACAGCTCTGCTCATCTTCCCCTGACCAGCCTGTACTTTTGGACATTTAGCAACTAGCTTTTGCACAATAGATTTTTTTTATGTATAACAGCACATCTCTTAACCACAGTAATTAAAATGATCCTGAATAGACGTTGTTACACTTTATTATGGACTGTATGCTGTAGTTGATGTAAGCTTGTTACACATTTAGAAGAGGGTAGTTTATGGCTGAATGGAGATGTTTTAAAAATGCCATTTTCAGTGGGTTTTTTTTTTAACAAATTGTAACAATATTCATTTTAGCATTGCCACCCTCAGTCAGCCATGTAATACTGACTCTGTGCCGCCTAGCTAATAAGCTGCAATAGGAAAAACAGCAACGTTGTGAACATGTGTGAGTGACTTAAAGAACGGGGAAACTCAGTGTGCTAGGTGCTAGGTGGCAGAGGAACATTTCCTGGTAAAAGAAGGGGTACGGTGCACTACCTCCACACGCGTTTCTCCTCGGTGTTGGTTTTGGAGATAGTGTTTGACCACAGAAGTGAGAACAGAGGTCTGCATTTCCTTTCCCTCTGAGACAAGGACTCTGTCAGGCTGTAAGCAGACGCCATGCGGCAGAGCAGTGCATAAGAAGAATGTCCAGCATCATTAGCTGTTACAGAAATGCAGTCACTATGTATTGTCATAGTTAAAGTAAACAGTAATGCCACGTTGTGTGAGGACACAGGATAATTTCACCCCTCACCTCCCATTGCTGGTGGCATTGTAAAATGGTAGCGTGATCCTGGAAAGTACTCCAAAACAGCTAAGCCTGCACTGCACTTGGTTTGCCACTGAACAGTTGTACTCAGTGATCCTCCTAGGCAATTATCCTGCAATGTAAAATCCACATTCACACAGACCCTGTATAACTATGCCCGTATTTGTAATAGCCAGAGACTGCAGGTACCTGGCTTTCAACAAGTAAAGAGTTTGATGTTGCTGTTGTTTTATGGTAAGTCTATGCCATGAAGTACATGTAGCGGTAAAATGGAATGAGTTATTGATCCAGCCATCTGAGTAAGTCTACAGAAAAAAGTATGAGGGAAAGAGGCAGTCCTAAAAGGGTACATACTTTATGATGCTGTTTATATGGCATCCTTCCTAAAGTGACAGTCTTTTCAGAAATAGAGAACCTATTTATGGTTGTTAGAGACTAAGAGGAAGGTACTGGTTGTGATATTTTGCTGGTGTATCCCAAGTAGAGGGTAAGGCTGCGTTGGATGCAGCTTTAACCTTTCTTAGAACTCTACACTGATCTCACAGTAGAAAGACAGTTTGTTAATTCGTTTTATTTATTTGGTGTTTTGGAGATAGTTCAGGCTGTCCTTGAACTCCCAATCTAGAAAGGCAAATTTTTAAAAATAAAATGAGCCAGGCCTGGTGGAAACCAGGAGGCAGAGGCCAGTAGATCTCTGTGAGTCAAGGCCAGCAGGGTCCTCACAGTGAATTCCAGACCAGCCAGGGCCACACGGTGAGACCATCTTAAACGAACAATGAAAGAAAGAAAGACAATGAGATACTTTGCTTGTTGGTTGGTTTTAGTTTATTTATTGGTTGGTCATTTTATTTTTTTTCCTTTATTTATTCAAGAAGTAATTATTATCAGATACAGTGACATGTTCCTAAAGTAGGATTTTATTTGGCTTTGAGTTGTAGGCCAACTTGGGGTACAGAATGAGGCCTCGGGGGGAGAGATTAGTCAGGTTTGGTGGCACAGCCTTTAATCCCAGCATTCAGGAGGCAGGGGAAGACAGATCTCTGTGAGCTCAAAAGCAGCCTAGTCTACCTCTTGAGTTTCAGACCAGCCAGGACTACACAGTGAGACCCTGTCTCAAAAAATAAAAACTTCAGAAATTGAGTATTTGTTGAATGTTTAAACTGTCCTTCTATCAAAGCCAGTTCAGTCATCCTAAAAGCAAAGTTACCAGTCTGTAATTGTTTCATAATTATAACATGCAGGACTCTACTTTAGGAGATTGTAGTAAGTTTGGTTCCTGCTGTTCATTGTTCGAAGCCAGCTCTTTGGTATGAGCAATTTGAAGCCTTGGCTACATAAATACCCAAGAGAATGATCAGGATTGTATGTCTCAGGCTGCCAAGCAACTTGCCCTGGTTATAGTCATCTCAGTGTAGACCGTTAGCATCTGTGCTGCCCTGGGCACTTTTGTCTCTGGAGTGTAGGGTCATCAGCTATGTGTGGACGGGAACTGGCAGGGCCCTTTCATTTTCTCAAGGGATCCGCATTTTGTCCCTATTCTACCTAGGATTTACCTGACAACACAGAATGTCTCTCTAGAATTTTGCAGAGATGGAACTTTGAACTCAGGGTAACTCCAGTGCTGGTTTAAAGAGACCACTGTGTGCACGGTTAATAACTTGTACTCGTCACTCTTGAAGTCTGATAAAAATTGACTTGTGGACTAGCCTAGAACTGGAGGGTTCCTCTGATCCTACACCCAGGAGAAGGACTCCCATGGGTTTGGCTGAGTGATGGTGTACTCAACCGCTGCAGTGACAGCTGACAGCCTGAGGGCTAAAGGGTTTGTCTCTGTGTGGGCTGGGTTTTCCAGTGGGAGAAAGGGTGGGAGGTAAAGCCAAGTTTAGGTGCGCCTCCCCGCCTTCACATTATAGGGCCCTAGTGATCCAGATTTGAGTAGTGAGTTGAGGCTGAGGAACAAACTAAAAGGCCTTTTGTGCTCTGAATATGGTGAGACACAGCGTATGCCCCATTGCGTTGAGATACTGAGGGGCTTCCCTAGAAAGTAGTGTTGGCATGTGTTAGTCCTGGGGCAGTTCACTGGAGTTTTTTGATGAAGCTTGTATCTGAACCCTAACATCTTACCTATCACTTGCATCCCTTGTTTTCTTTGAGAAGATGAGTCTGTCATCCCTGGGCCTTTTCTGCTTGGCAGCTATGATCAGAGTGGAGTCAGTAAATTCCAAACCACCTTGGCAGGAGTGCCTCTGTGGCTGTTGGGTTTTTTAGTTGATTTTCTACAGGCCCTGAGCTGCTGTGGAGGGAGATGGAGTTAGTAGCCGCCCCACCCCGGGGCTGTAAAAGGAAGTGGAACTTCCACAGCCTCAGGCCCCACCTAGAGGCAGCCTCCCAGGCTTCGCTGTAGTCCTTGTGTAGAGATGTGAACGCAGCAGCAGCAGCAGCAGAGAAATGGGCTCTGAATAGCAAACAAGAGCCTATGTGTAATTAAAATGTGTGTGTGTGTGTGTGTTTGTGTGTATGTGTGTGTATTAATTGGCAAATTCAGTGCTGACATCTTTCTTTCTTTGTTTCTTCAGTCTCAAACCATGAATTATGTGGGCCAGCTGGCTGGGCAAGTGCTCGTCACTGTAAAGGAGCTCTACAAGGGCATTAACCAAGCCACCCTGTCTGGGTGCATCGATGTGGTCGTTGTGCGGCAGCAGGATGGCACCTATCAGTGCTCACCTTTCCACGTGCGCTTCGGGAAACTGGGAGTCCTGCGGTCCAAGGAGAAAGTGGTGAGTCAGGGCAGAGCCTGGGTTAAGGTGGGAACGTAGTCAGTGCACAGGTCGGCATGGTGAGCTCACCGCCACTCTTGCTCTTTCAACTGAACTGCTTTGAGAAGTGACTGCTGAATTCACAAGACTATTTATTACAGGAAGTTTCTCCAAATGAAAAAGAAACCGAGATTATGAAGATAAACCCTACATGTTGAAACTCAGAACAAAACTGGAGATAGTTACAAACAAGGAAGTTAGGCTTACTTTGAAAAATAAATTTTCCCTTACTTAAGACAGCACTTTAAAATAGTATAGGGCCAGCAGGATGACTCAGTGAGTTAAAACCTTTGCCATCAATTCTCGTCCCACAGGTGGAACGAGAGAGCGTGATGGAAAGTTATTCTCTGACCCCTCCCCACATGTGCCCTGTGGTTCACATGCATGCTTTAAAATCTTAATAAAAAAAAATAGGTGCTCTAAAAATAGAATCATACAGGCTAGAGAGCTCTATGCTCAGATATATAATATGTGCATGGATGCACAAAGCCATGGGCTCCATCACTGTCACTGCATGAGTAGACGTGGTGGCCACTGCCCAGAATCTAAGCACTGAGGACACACAGGCAAAAGGACCAGAAGGCCAGGGCCATCCTCCACTCAGCCACAAAGCAGACTTGAGGCCAGCCTGAGATACATGAGAACCGGTGGTAGGGAGGGAGGGAGGGAGGGAGGGAGGGAGGGAGGGAAGGAAGGAAGGAAGGAAGGAAGGATGGATGTCGTTAAACTGATTATGACTAAGTAGACTAAGCTCATGTAGTCAGGTGTACATCATCATATTTGTTTAAAGGAAACTTTTACCTGGTTGACTGTGTTTTTCCTCTTTGCTTTTATTGGGGGGGGGGAGTGTGGTGTTTGGGTTTTTTTTTTTTTTTTTTAAATATCCTTTCCCTCCCTTGAGTATTGAGCAATAGGGAGGTTTTTGAAGTGTGTGTGGGAAGTTTTAAAACTAGGTTAATTAATAAAACCTTGCAGAGCATGTAGTTGGCAACTTTTCATGCCCACATTATCTACCTGGATAATGCCAGCCCCTCTTTCTAAGACTTTGGAGCTCTGTGAGGGCACTGCTCCACTTCCTGGCGTGTGTGTGTGTGTGTGTGTGTGTGTGTGTGTGTGTGTGTGTGTGTGTTAAAGACCAGCATGTATGAGTTAAGAGTGCTGAGCTTTTTGTTATTTGTGTGTGTGTGTGTGTGTGTGTGTGTGTGTGTGTGTGTGTGTGTGTACAAATTTCCCTCTGTTTAAGTTTCGATTTTTCTGAAAGGGAAAGGAAATGGGTTTCCCCAAACTAGCCTTTTCTTCCCTCTTTTGTAAGTGTTACAGAATCATTCTCCACCAGATTTTGCAGACTAGCCTTTGCATGATCACCTTTAGAGAAAGCACAAAAGCAGCCATAATTCTGCTTGTTCACTTCGCAGCCCCCACTCGAGATCAGCCTTGCCCATACATAGTTAGGGCCTTGGTGTTTGTTTCCTTTGTAGTTTTGTTTCTCTGTGTATCCCTGGCTGTCCTGGAACTCACTCTGTAGACCAGGCTGACCTCAAACTCACAGAGACCTCTTGCCTCTGCTTCCCTCTTGCTGGGATTAACCACTGACTTATTTTATTTTTTATAGTGACACTATAAGTACTTTCAGATTGGAGCTGTTTTGGAGGGACTCAAACCATCTATACCCTGCAGTTTCTCATTAGGTGTTCAAGGGTACATTTGTACAGTTTCTTTGGGGGTCTTCCCAATAAGTCCTCCCCAACCACACCCTGAACCAGGTTTCTAACTGGTAGGGTGACTCCTCCTTTTGGAACAGAGCTGCAGCAGGTGTGTGTGAACACTTACCTCCTGTAGGTGATGGGGACTGATAGGGGCCTTCTCTGCAAGCCTTGTAGATGGGCAGGCCACACAGTTCATTCCGTCAACTGATAACTATTGGATGCCCAGGCTAAGTTAAGTATCTTGTCAAAACCCCAGTACTCTTAGGATCATACTACACGGCACAAGAAAAGAAAAAATAATCTTTCCTGTTCCTTCCTTCATATCCCAGAATCTCAAAGGGTATATAGGGGAGAATCTATCCATTTTACTAACCAAAACACTGCCGCCTTATGGCAGGTAAACTTAAGCCATGTCTGATTTAACATGCACTAGTAGTTGCTTGTATGAACCTCTTGTCTCAAGTCTTTTGGATTAGGATCAGCTGTTTATATTTAAACTGACTCTAAATTTTCAAACATGGTGACACCTGAGAAATGTACCTGAAATCATAAAAGTACTGTCTAGAGAAACAGTTATTTTCCATGATGTGTTCATGTTTGATGGAACACCAGTACTTCTAGTATATCTTACAACTTGGGAGTTTAATTTTAGAAAGTAAACTTTTTGTTGATCTGTGACAAAGTTGATATCATGGTCACTTACCATAGTAAAATCCCAGTGTCTTGGGACTGTCTCCAACATGGGTGATAAGAGCTGGCCTCCTGTTCTCATGCACAGACATGCCAAGGTCCAGGGGCTTCTGCTCCAGTCAGTGCTGGTTTAGGAAGGTTTTAAAGGCTCTCAGAATTCTGCTTTCCCACTTGGGTCACACCCATCACAGGCCTGGTACTGCAGCTGGGAATGGAACGTGCTGGATTAAACCACAGACTCACCTCCACAAGAATGCACTTGAGACGCACAGTCTGAAGTAAGGATGGACAGCCCCCTGCAGAGTGCATGCCAAACCAGGCATTCATTAACCCCTTATCTGTGGGTATCTTTTCCATTTTAACAACTACAGTCTAGGAAATAGGACTCTGGGAGGGATGAGTGTGATTTTTAGAAGACAGCTTTACTGGGATTTGAACTATCAGTCCTCTCTCAAATAGTAACCTTGGGAAACACTTGTTCTGCCTGGGTGCTTGTCTTAGTCACTGTTCATTGCCATGAAGAGACACCATCAAGAAGAGAGCATTCAGTTAGGGGAGCATTTTCAGAGGGTGAGTCCATGACTATCATGGCTGGGATCGTTGAGGCTGGCAGGCCTGGAGCTGAGATCTGACATTCTTGCCCCCAACTTGGAGTCAGAGAGTCCTGGCATGACTTTTGAAACCCCAAAGCCTACCCCCACCCCCACCCCACCCCCAGTGACACAGTGACATACCTCCATCAACAAGGCCCCACCTCCCAATCCTTCCTAAACAACCCACCAACTGGGAACCATGTACATGCATACACCCACACACAAGAGCACATGGATACTCCCCCCATCCCAAAGGAGTTCTTGTAGGTGTACTTGGTATTGGCACCTAATGTGCATTTAAATTTTTGGAGAGAAAAGACTTCCTTTATATAAATCAAGAGGGTAAAATAAGCCAGTATATAGATTAATGTGTTTCAAAGATAAGATAATGGTTATGAAGTGTTAATTTTTCTAAGATGATGGGTAAGCAATTTAGACTTTGATTTTGAATCTTAAAGAAGTATTTCATTTCCCTATCTCCATTGGGTTAAATTGACACATCTAAAAATGAAAAATGTGAAGGGATAGCAGTGTGAATGTATGATGATATTAGTAATTTTATTTAAATAAATACTTTTTTGTTTACCTTTATTTGTTTTTTTAGTTTTAATGTGTATATGTGTCTATATGTGTGTCTACTTATGTGCCTTGTGAGTGTGGCTGCCTGAGGAGGCCAGAAAAAGGTGTCAGCTTGGAGCTACAGTTACAGGCAGTTGTGTGTGGTCTGATGTAGGTGCTGGGAATCCAACTGCTGAGCTGTTCTTCAACTGCTCCTAAAATAGTTTAAGTTAGTAATCATTCTTCTGTACTTGTGGTGGAAGCTGCTAGGCTGCAAGGGCCCCAGGAGTCATAGTTCTCCTTAGTTTCTTGGCAGTGAGCATTCTCAGTGATATAAAACATCAAGAAAGCTGACCAAACGTTGCACTGGGTGAGTCGGTTGGTAAAAGTGCTTGCTAAACACAGTGATGGATGGCCCACTTGTAACCCAGCATACTGGAGGAAAATCTTGATCCCTGGAGCATGCTGTCTAGGTATACTAAACAAAGTGTGCCCTAAGTTCCAAAGAAATATTCCTTCAGTATATAAAGTGTAGAGAAATCAAGAAAGACAGGCAAGATCAACCTCAGGCCTTTTCACAAAGGTTCATTAGTGTGTGTGTACACACAAGCACACAAGCTCACATACACACACACAGAAATTTGGTGTGTGCATGCAAATGTGGTCATTTCCTCTAAAACGTAAAAGGAATGTTTGTGCAGGGTGATTAGTGTATTATTAACTGTATATGATACTTAACCTTTTTTTATTTGTTTTTAATAAGCATACGATAAATTCTTCAAGCATGTATTTATACCATGCAAAAACTATTTCTACATTCAGGATAAGAAACATTCCATTGCCCTGTCAACTTGGTCTCCTCTAGTCTCTGATGGTCCCCCATGTTTTTGTTAAGAAATTTTATTACCTTGTTTGTATGTTTGAAACAGGGTCTCACTATGTGGTACACGTTGGCCAGGATCTCTGTGTATCATCCAGGCTACCTTCAAATTTACTTTCTTCCTTCTTCATTCTGCTGGTGCTGGAATTATGAACCCTATGAACCCCATGTGTCATGCTGATCAACTTTCATTTATTTATTGTTTGGGTTTTGAGATGGGTCTAACTTCACAACACTGAACCAGGCTAGCCTCAAACCCACAGAGATCCACATGCCTCTGCCTCCCAAGTGCTATCGATTGATGTCTTTTTTTTAGTTAGTTTTTGACCTCCAGGAAAGTCATAAGTATAATTCAGAAAAACTTTTTTGTGGTGAGAATGGTCCAAGTGTGATGGCCTAAGGTAGGTCCTTGGAAGTTGGTGGCAGAAAAAGTCAGCTCCAGAAAGTTGTTCTCAAACCTGCACATGGGCACCATGGTCTCTGCCCTCCTCCAGTATTCAGAAATAAATAAAACAATTCCTTTGTCTAATTTCTTCTCCTTAATGTTAGCATTTTATATGGCCCTTGGACTTTTGCTAAAACCAGAAATTTATATTGGCATATGCTGTCAACCAGAGACATTATCCAGAGTCTATGAGTTCCTTAGGGCTGTCTGCTTTCTGTTCCAGTGCCCATCCTCAATGTTCCCCAGCCCTTCCCTGTGGCTGTCTGGTAAGGAATACAGGAGTCACTGTGTAGATCGTCCCTCAGTTTTGAATTTGACATTTGACCTTTGAAATAAGAATCCAGAACGATGCTCTCTCTTGCTAACGAGTGCCCATCATCTGTACTGCATGCTGTATTACTGTTGATAGAACCTTTGAATCCCTTCATTCATGGTGTCTGTTAGAGGTTTTCCACCATGGATCCACTTGTAGGAGAAAGTTTGATTTCCTCCCCCACCCCCATTAGGCTTGCTATGCAAATATTATTGTTTCCCATAAATTTTAGCATGCAAAGGACTATCTTTGTTCTCATCTATTTAATTATTTAATTATTCAGTTATACAGTTTCTGCCCATGTGAATTCATAGCTATTAGTTTTACAATATAGGTTTCCCCATATCCTTACAATTTTAGTTGCTCAAATTGGCCCATTTTTTTTTCCCTCCTTCCATATGCTAGTCTAGGAAAATCTGCTTCCCTGCTTCAACCTTAGAGCTCTGGTTTCTTTTAACTAAATTAGTATTTAAAAGCAATGATCTGGATACAGGTTTTTTTCATTACTACTATGGTATCATTACTTCTAGGATGTCTCAGCTGGTAAATGAGGGGACCCCCCCCCGTGTGTGTGTGTGTGTGTGTGTGTGTGTGTGTGTGTGTGTGTGTGTGTTTGTGTGTTCGTGTGTTCGTGTGTTCTGAAATGCATACGTATAGTCCACTTGGTCTGTATAATGTTATCTTTGTTCCGCTCATATTAAGTTGGGGAGGCTCTATAGGTGTCTCCTCTGACATCCCCAGGAAGCAGACAGCAGACTCCCTGATCCGCCCTGCCCCTCTTCTGCAGGGTTACCTGAGCGCAGATTTGTGTATGCACTGGGACTGGGCTCCACAGCTCTGCATTTGGGAGGTTTGGTTTCTGTGGTGGTCCCCATCTGTGGCAAGAAGTTTCCTTGATGAGGGATGTAGACCAATTCACTAGGTGACACCCTGGGGAAAGCTGAATTTCCTTAGAACATTATCAGTTTTTTGTGTATTTTTTGTATCTTGGCCAATAATTTCCTCCTTGAATTGTCCGTTTTATAAAATGTTACATGAGGTCTGGAGGGATGGTTCAGTCAGTAAAGTGCTTGCTTTTCAACCATGTCGGCCCCAGTTTGATTCCCAGACCCACATAAGTACTGGGCATGGTAACATGCGCTAGTTGTATCAGTTCTGGGAAGACAGACAAGCAGATCTGTAGGGCTTTCTGCCCCCCACCCCCAGCCTACCCTAATCCTCTCACTGGGACCTAAGCCCCTGGTCCCAGTGAGAGGCACCCTGTCTCAGAAAAGGTGAATAGCCTAAGGACTCAGCCTGAGGTTGATCTCTGACCTCCATGCACGCACATGTACATATGCACACGTACATACACAAAGATATACATACATATACACACACACATACAAAAGTTAGATATCTGTAGCCACATACCCCCCCCCCAGTCGTTGCTCTGTGGCTGAACTGACTATGTCTGTTGTTGCATAGTGACCTGGGATGAAAATGCTAGCAGGGGATTCACTCACAGCTCAACATGAGGGTTACTGAAACGATTGAATGTTTGAATCCTGTGAGACAAGCCCTGCTTATGCTATAACTTGGAAAGCACAGAAATGTTTGTTAATATTTCTCCCATTTTGAAATACTTGGCAGGTTAAGATAGGCATAATGGTTCAGACCTGTAACTGTGGCACTTGAAAAATCTAAGGCAGAATGCTGTGAGTTCAAGATCAGGTTAGGCTACTTAGCAGGACCCTATCCTCTGGAAAGACAATTGAGAGATTAAGCAATAAATTTTTAAAATGCGCTGAAGATGTTTTCTTGCAATCCCTGGCTGTCTGTGTCTCCTAGTACCCAAGTTTATTTCTTGTAGGGGTGGGCTCTGGAGCTAGTAACAGTGTTTCTCTGGGCTATATCTCTAGATACCCAGTGCCAAATTTAGCTTGTGAGCCAAGAATTTTGATTTAGGTTAGCCTAAATAAAAGACTCTGCTGAATTATGTTTGCTTGCTCCTTAGATTGATATAGAAATCAATGGCAATGCAGTGGATCTTCATATGAAATTGGGTGATAATGGAGAAGCCTTCTTTGTAGAAGAGACTGAAGAAGAATATGTAAGTTCTCAAAGGTCACAGCCCCTTGTGTCAGGCTTCTACAACATGTCTCAGAACAGCTGGTCAGCTATTTCCATAACTGTGTGAGTTATTATTATTGACTAAATAAGCTTTCGTTACATGTTGAACTAAACTTCCAAAACAGCTCACACCAACCAACCTTCAGGGTTTGGAGAATATCTAGCATCAAAGGGCTTTCCTGCTTCCTGTCCACTAAAGCTTATGCTTATCTTGAATTCATTCAGAAGTTCTGCCTTGAGGCATATCTCTGAGACTGTGTGTGTGAGAGTATGTGCATATGTGACCTCTACATTTGGAAGACATGTTTACAAGGCCAGAGAGCTCAGCAGGTAAAGGCACATTCCATACAGGCCTGCCTGACTACCTGTGTTTGGTGTCTAGAGCTACATAAAGATGCAGAGAGCTTCTCCACAAAGTTGTTCTCTGATGCTGCGCAGCACACAGTACCCTCCCTTCTCTTTCTCTCTCTCACATAAATAATAAAGTTTAAAAAAAATGATTCTTTTGTTTGATTAGGAATATTATATCCATTACCTTAAGAGTCACTGAATTATGATTTCGAGAAAGTTAAATTAATAGGTCTACGGCGTCCTACAAGTCCCATGGCCTTGTGTGCTCCCAAGTAAACCTAACCGAGCTGGAACAAAGCAAACTCTCCTTGTTATAGTCAAGCTTTGTAGAAGCACCACTGTATCTTTTTTCCTTAAGAAATTAAATCTTTTGACAGCAAAAATTACCAATAGCAAATCGAGCTTATGTTGACTTTTTTTTTTTTTTTTTTTTAAGCTGGGGAAGAGCAGCAGGGTGGGCTTTTGCCCTGTGGAGCAGTCCGTCCTGCGCAGTGACCGCGTCCAGGTGTTTTCCTGGACCTCTGACTGATGTTTATTACCTCGTTTGCATTTACATGACTTAAACAAAATTCCGCCTCATCCGAAATAAAGGCAGAAAGGCAGAGTAAAGCATCATAAATATTATTGGCTACCACAAGTGTAAAATATTTTTGATGTGTTTCTGAAAATCAAGTATAAGCCGTGTATCACTGATTATCACTGTTAGACAGTGATCTGGGTTCTTGATAGTCCTTTGCTTGGCTCCTGCCAACAATTCTATTTAAAGCCTGCTTTAGCTTGAAGAACATCAGCCATGCGTCACTTTTTCTTTGTCATGTATGGCTAAATTGACTAGATTTTTTTCTGCACTATAGTAAGTGCTAGGACAGCCAGAGCTACATACTAAGGCTCTCTTTCAAATAAACAAAAATAGCCATAAAAAATGTCCTAATTCATCCAAGAAATATTAGAATTAATAATCTATGGCATATAATATGAATAAAATAATGATAAAGACCTGCTTTTTTGGTTTTGTTTTATTTTTTATTTTTTGCCGAGACTGGGTTTCTAGACAGCTTTATAGACCAAGCTGGTGTCAAACTCATAGAGATCCACCTGCTTCTGCCTCCCAAATGCTGGGATTAAAGGCGTGTGCCACCACTGCCCGGCTTTTAAAGGGGATTAAAAGTTAACAAAAGCCCTCTTTGTTTATCTGATGTTTTTGACCATCGTCATCATTCCTTCTCAGTCATCAATCCTGAAACAATCCCTCTTTGACAGCCACACGGTTTTCATGGTGTGGATTTGCCTGGGTTATCCAACCATTGTCTTATTGATAGATTTCTCAATTATGTTTCTATTGCTGTGATCAAGGTCGTGAATTTATTTCACCTTACAGCTAACTTCATAACTCCAGCAAGAGCCTGGAGACAGAAGCTAAAGCGGAGGCCATGGAGAATCTCTATTTACTAGCTTGATCCTCCTTGGCTTACTTTCCGATAGCACCCAGGACCACCTGCCCACAACCGGGCCAGGCCCTCCTATGTGAATGATTCATTAATCAAGACAGCACCCACAGACTTGAATAAAGAGCAGTCTGATGGAGGCAGTTCCTCAGTTGGAATTCCCTCTTCCCAGATACATCAGATTTGTGCCAAATTGACAAAACCCAACCAGCAGAGTAGACATTCATGTGTTCTGCCTCACCTCAAGTACTTCTATAATATAACAAGAAGACACTACAGAACACCAAAACAGCTTTGAAGAGAAGTACAAGGACATCTTGATAAGTAACAAAACTATTAAATGAAGTGTCTAGAAATCAGGGCACATCAAACTCACCTGGGTGACTCAGAGGCATTCGGACAATGCGATGACAGTTATGTGTTAGTGATGAGCCTGGAAAACAAAACTTCCAGCTTCTGGATGCTTATCAAATCCAAGTTTAAAATTTTAGTGGGTATCAGTTATGGAAACTCACTTGTTTCCTGAACCATTGTGCAAAAATATGACCATTCTAAATTATGAAGTTAATTTATGCTTGACTACCTCTCCCCTTCCCGATTGAAACAAATGGTTAAGAAGTTCACTAGATTTAATGTGTTCGTGGTTAAGTTGAATAGTTTAATTATTGTAAATATTGGGCCACCTTTTCTTCATTCATTGTAGGCTGTTGCCTCTGTCATAATCACTTTCCTCATCCTCCATTCACTTGGCCACTTGGCTCTAAATCCTTCCTAGTTCCTGGCTCCACCCACCTGCCCTGCCGCCCTGGTCAGTTGTGGCCTCGGCCTTGGCCTCTGCTTCACCGTGTTCTTACCGGTCCTTGTAACACTCAGCTGCCGCCGCCATTTTGATAGCTCTTTGTACATATTTTAATTGGCCTAGATTGTTGTTGTTTTTGTTTTTTTGAGGCTGGGTTTCTCTGTGTAGCCCTGGCTGTCCTGGAACTCACTCTGTAGACCAGGCTGGCCTCCAACTCATAGAGATGTGCCTTTCTCTGCCTCCTGAGTGGTGGGATTAAAGGTGTGTGCCACTACCTCCTGGCTTATTGGCTCAGAATTTAATTGCAGCTCTTTCGTGTTCTGCTGAGCTGACAAAGCAGTTCCTGCAAATACACTCAGTTACATACTGAATGAACTAACCCATATTTGAGTCTAGCAAGGTGACTTTCTTAACATAGACACTATGCCTTCCAACCCCTGTGAAAAGTTGTATACCTGAGAAATTAATTATTGTTTTGATAACTATCTAGTTTGTTGTAGGTAACTTATCTTTTGTTCTTTAAGGAAAAACTACCTGCTTATCTTGCCACGTCACCAATTCCTACTGAAGACCAGTTCTTTAAGGATATTGACACCCCTTTGGTGAAATCCAGTGGGGATGAAAGGCCATCTCAAAGCTCAGATATTCCTCACACCCTGGAAACAGAGACAGTTTTTACTCCAAGTTCTGTGAAAAAGAAGAAACGAAGGAGGAAGAAGTACAAACAGGAAAGAAAGGAGGAGCAGGCAGCTTCTCCTGCTGTAGAAGATGTATGTGAAGTAGGCGTGAGTTCTGATGATGATAAGGGAGCCCAGACGGCGAGGTAAGGCTCCCAGACTGCACAGGGCTCCTGCAGGCGCCTGCCATGCCCGTGTGCCCCAGTAGAGCTCAGGGATCTGGGGGCTGCTGTCCTAAAGGTGTGTGCTATGAGTCTGACCCCTGCACCCATCTGTAAGTGTGGGACCCAGTGAAGAAGCACCACACTACCCCTGACTGTTAGAGTATCCGGTGCTCCAAAATGTTGTTCGGAGCCGGCTGGAGGCGTGCCCGTGTCCACTGAGTAAACTTCAGAAATCACATTGTCAGCTCTTAGTGATTTACTTGGGGTGAGCAGATTCAAGTGAGAACGTTATGTTCCAGTTGTGTAGCTTTCCAACCCTAGGATCTTTCCCTGGCCCACCTCTTCTCCTCCTCCCCTCCCCCTCTCCCCCTCCCCCTCCTTCTTTCCCTTCTCCCTTCCCTCCACTCCCTGTCTTCTCTGCTCTCCTCTCCCCTCCCTCCCTTCCCCATCATCCCCTCTCTTTTCCCCTTCCTATCCATTCTCTTCCTTATCCCCCTTCTTTTTCTCCTTCCCCTTCCTTCTACAGGGTCTCCCTGTGGAGCATGGGTTGGTCTCAAACTCATAAGTGGAAGTTTTGATCACCACTTATATACCAGTCGAAATACTCAAAACCTATACCACTTTTCACTGTGTGTCTTGAGTGGCTACCCAAGCCCTAGAGGACAGCGTGTGGTGGTGGTTGGCCTCTCACTTGTCAGCTTTTGGAGGCTGCTGCCTGCAGGCATCCTGAATGCTGTGTCCTTTTTTTGAGTGTGGGAGGACTCGTGATCCAGTCGTGTACCTCAATTACCTCAGTTTAGCTGCTGGGAAGAGGTGACACGCTTGTGTCTGCAGAAGTTGTGGTAGTGAAGTACTTTTGCAGTAAAAGAAGGGAGGGTAGCTTTTCCAGTTAAAGAAACTACGCAGAATAAACTTTTATGTTATTTGTTAAGCTTTTTAAAACTATCAAACCATGAAAAACCTGCTATTAATAAATAGTGTACTGTAATTATACTATTTGGGGAATAACATAATTCCTTCTTAGTAAACTTTTTAACTTATTTCTTAAGATTTTGAGCCCTGGGTTATAAATCCTGGAATAAAATTGTACATGTAGCTGTACTTTTTAGCATTCAAACATTTTCCCTCTATCTTAAATCATTTACTGTCATGGTTATTACTTTTCACACTGTTGGGTAGAATTCAGAATTCCTGTTAGAAATAAACATAATTAAAAGGCTGGAAAGATGGCCCCTGTTTTTGCAGGGGACCGGGGTTTGGTTCCCACCCACGTGGTGGTACCCAACCATCCCTAATTCCAGTTCCAGGAGATCCTGTGTCTTATTATGGCCTCTGTAGGTACCAGGTACACAGGTGGTTACAGTGACGCGTGTGTAAGCAAAACACTCACATTTTAAAAGTAAATAATGAGAAATGGAAATAATGAGAAATACTTTAGGCTCACAGAACAGCATAAATACTGATAACCATTTTAAATCCTGAGTAGAATGTCTTTGGTTTGTGTTAAAACCATCGGCAAAGGTGAGTTATGAGCTCTGCTTCTGTCTCTCAAAGACAGTTTACTTTCAGAAGAAAAACCCTCTCTGGTCTTCTAGTTCTCTAAAGTTCTATCTATAGTCAAGTGTTTCAGTGGACAAGGAACGTATTTCTACACATGGGAATTTCCCACACATGAGTTTACAAGGCCCCTTCTGTACCTTGTCCTGAAAATGTTTTTGCACCCCAAATTTTTGGTCCACTAAAAGTGGCCTGAAGTGATGGGTTTGCTCCCCCCCCCAGAACCTAAAAGTTCTGCTAACGCTTTGTGTGTGTGTGTCTCTTGTTGACATAATTAGCAAAAATTTAGATTCCTGAACAACATGCAGCTTTATCTCAGGAAATGACATTTCTAGGACACACACAGCCTCTGCTAACACACAACACAAGAACTGCTACCACACACACAGCCTCCATTGGGGTGATAGCTGATATGGTTGCCAGCACCTACTTGCTTGGTAAGAAAGCTTCACAGCACATGTGATTGGGCCTCTGTTGTCATTCAGGGTTTAGTGGCCTGCTTTTCCTTTGGGTTACTAGTAAATTGTGAATGCCACCTTTAGGGGAAAAAAGAACTTTTTTCCCCCTAAAATTTTCTTAGAACAAAATCTGTACAATTATGCATCCGACAGAAATTAGATGGCTGTCAAAGTTTAAGCTGTATTGTGAACTCAGCGGCATCTGGACCTGTGAGAGTTGGGGTTGTGGAACCAGAATCTGGGCAATCAGGAGCTTCTTTCTAAAGCTGTAAAAGAACTGAGCTCTGGCTCCATGCTGCTGATCCATGGGGATATGTTCTGAGAAATGGGTCAGTAGAGGGGCCAACCCAAGTCTAAATGGTATGGAACTGTCCCTCATTATGGACTTAAAAAAAAAAAAAAAAAAAAAAAAGATGTAAGATTTGCTAGTGAGAGTAAACACAGTAGAAGCTCAGGTATACCACAGTTGGGGATGTATTTGATCCACAGCCATTGACCATACATTCTACATTAACTGTAGTAAAGCTTTTCTTCATTTGGGTATGAATCTTCTGGTGGCCAGGGAACTTGGACTCTTGGCCCTGCACAGAGCCCCAGGCACATGTTCCTGCAGCTTGTTGGGGCTGGACATAATGACCTACCTAGCCCACGTGAACCCTGGGCCACTATTTCTCAGGCTTCCCAGAAGTACCCCACACACTTGTTTGTAGTCTACACTGGGGTGAGCATGATGCCAGAGACATGAATATCTTCCCGAATACTGTCTCTAGAGTACCTTTGGGACAACCCGTTCAGCCAAACAGGCATCAATGAGGGACACTGGTAGATGGAATGGTGTGTATAAAACAGAGTGAATGCACTAAAAATAATGACTAAGAGTATAGTAAATATATTAACCAATGACATAACTGTATCACTATGGAGTCTTTTATAATATGCATAATTATGCTATCTTTTTACTTGACATTACATTTACTACAAACCTTTGAGGGAAGAGGCTTTTCTAATTGGATGACATTCTAGTACGATTTTGAGTACATATTATAAAAATATCCCTTTCAAGACACACCCCAAATACTTAGCATCATTTCCATACCGCTATTGGAAATACTGTAGTAGTCAGCCAACAGTAGCAAAAATAACCAAGACCAGGCCGTCAGATAAGAAACATTTAGTCACTAAGTAGTCTTCCTTATGAAGTTGAATGTGGGAGCTGAGCTCAGGGAGCCTAAGGCTTGCCCCACCCCACCCCACCCCCCCACCCCCTCCACCCCAACACCCCCGAGCAGCTATGACTGGGAGGCTCTGTTCATCATACTCCATCAGTTGGTGGCATGGGTCCTAGAGTGTCCCTGCTTTCTTCTCCTTCATTCTCACACAGCAACAAAGCCACATTTTGCTTGGAGTCCTGAGGTCTATATAGGAAGCATCTTGTGAGTACAGATCGCTGGCTGTACTGACATCCACTGAGTATTACTGCTCCAAGGGTAGCTGGTAACCATATGATCTTTGGTCTTGGAACCTAGCAGCCCCTTGTTTAAAATACATCAAGTGCCTGTAATTTGAGCTGAGTTTAATTTCCTATTTGTTCCACTTTTAAAAGAATTGGAGTACTATCTACAAGTATTTGTATTTACAGATTATTTTATTTTGAGACAGGGTTTCACCATGCCCTCTCTGGTCTGGAACTCACTATAAAGACTGCTGACCTCCAGCCCACAGAGCTGGGGTTAAAGGTGTATGTCACCGTGCCTGGCTTGTTTTTTTTTTTTTTCCCCTTGTGTTTTGCTTGTCTTGTTTTGTTTTGTTTTAAATTTCACTCATTTAGTTTGTGTGAATGGGTATTTTGTCTGTATGTGTGTCTCTGCACCACATGCATGCCTAGAGGCCATGGAGGTCAGAAGAGGGGCATCATTTCCATCATTTCCCTGAAACTAATGTGAGCATTGGGAATCAAACCCAGGTGCTGAGCCATCTCTCCCGCCTCAAGTTTCCCTCTCTTCAGGGAAAACTTACCTTTTTGTTTGTTTGTTAAATAGTGATTATTTTCTGGCATCTGCTTTCCTTAGGTATGTTTTTCTCCTCTTGAATGAGATTGTGTAGTCCTCTAGGGGAAAGAAGGTTCCATTGTGGAAAACCTTCAGTTAGCAGGAAGATCTTAAAAGATACATACATTCATGTATCTTAAGCGATTTATATCTACATGGGAGGTCTGTGTCAAAGAAGTAAAATGTATGTTACAAGGAAAGTAATACTGAAGCAAAAGGCAGTTTTCTTTTTCTGCTCTTGCCCAAATTAAGTGGTATGGTTACAATGTACATTCAACACACTGTTAGAGCTTGAGTGTTCTATAAGAAGCTCTTAAACTTGCAGTAATGTGCTTTATGCTTTTCAGATGTTTTCAGCAATGTCCATATGCTATGTCATACAACCCTCATATTGACTGAAAAGTAGATAGGACATTGATTAATTCCCTAAAGATAAAAAGTAAAGTCATAGCTTTTTTACTTTGGACAAATTATTATATTAAGCTACCAGGTCCTCGATTACCTGCTATTTACAATGGCACTTTATCACCTTAAATTTGGAAGAACTGGATGAATGGCACCCAGTAATACTGTGCTAAGTTGCAGACAACCATATTGTTAACATCAACTTAGTAGGGAGGGAACTGGTTGAGCCCAACATTCATGAATGCCAGGCAGGCACTCTACCACGGAGCCACATCCCAGCCTGTCAGAAATTGATAATGACATTTGTCCTCTGTCTTTCTGTCATATGGCTAGTGGCTACCGTAGTGGTGAGTGGCTTGGTGACGACTTCCTTGTTCATGTTAGCTTTTTTCAAGAAATAATACTAACCATGTGGCTTTAATTCTGTTGGTAAAGAATGTTGTTGGTACCTGTGTTTTTCCCTTTCGTAGAGGATCTTCAAATGCTTCCTTAAAGGAGGAAGACTGTAAGGAGACTCCGCTCTTCCACTCCAGCGACCACTATCCCTTATCGGATGGAGATTGGTCCCCGTTAGAAAAGTGAGCATCTTTGGATTTTCTGTTTTCCCAAGGGAAGGGGATGGTGCATATTAGTAGCTTTTCTGTAGTTTTGATAGTAACACCTGTTTTCATTTGTGTAGTAGTAGAATAAACATCAGGTGAAATTTAACATGAATGTGAACTGTTTCCAACAACCATTTTGTTCCTGAATTTAATCTTATTCTGAAGGTGTTTGCCAGTAAGTCTGAGTGATCAACATAGAATTTACTTTACCTACTGCTCAATTCTAGTTCTTTGGTGTCAATTAAATAATACAGTGAAAGAATGTGTGGTCATACTGCTTATCTTCTATGATCAAACCTTCAGATTTATATGATCTTTTAAATGTATGTATTTTATGTGTAAAGATGTTTTGTGTGCATACATGTCTATGCACCGTATGCATGCCTGGTGCCTACAGAAGGCAGAGGAGGAAGTTGGATTCCCTGGGATGTTAGAGTTACAGGTGGTGAGAATTAGCAGTTCCTGGGAATTGAATCCAGGTCCTCCAGTCCTTTACCCCTGAACCATTTCTACAGTCCATATTGACTGATTATAAATCCTACCTTCCTATATGTTTTCTGTCATGCAAAATTGACTGTATCATTGGTTTCCTGCTAGAAGCAAACAGATAAATCATACTGTGAAGTGTCTACGGGAGACCTTGAAGGAAAGTCCTTAATAATCACAGCTGGTGTCTTTATTCCATCAAAGAGCTGGAGTGCAGGGGATAACTGGCGTCCCCTCAGTGGGCTGCTTGTACTTGTTCTTGTCTGTTGCAGCACTTATTCCCAGGCATTGTGTCCCAAGAGTGATTCCGAGCTGGAGGTGAAGCCAGCCGAGAGCCTGCTCAGATCTGAGTCTCACATGGAGTGGACTTGGGGCGGGTTCCCAGAGTCTACCAAGGTACTGGGGCTTTACTGGGAAGACTAGGGTATGTCTGGTAGAGTCTTTCTTTCTATTAAATGAAGGAAGGAATTTCTTATTGAGCTCAGAGTATAATGATGGCCTTGCCCTGTTGTGGCTAAAAAAGTAAATAAAAACATTTCTCATAACATTTCCACTGTACGTTTACTTACAACTGAATACAATCTTTTGTGTTACTACCTACCAAATAATGTTGATTACAAATTAATAAAGAAAAAATTTAAAGATACTTAAACTAGAGTTTCCATACAGAAATTTTAAATAAATCATTCAGGTTAGGGTAGGATATAGCCCAGTTGGTGCTCTGGACATTAGGTCGCGTCCCCAGCATGGGTGGGAGGATGTTGCTAGAACTTTCTGGTCGCTCACAGTAAAAGAGTAATGTACTTACTGACAGATGCACCCTCTGAATTCAGCTGTGTAGAAACAGACTCACTGTTTGTGAATGAGTGCTTTAAGTTGCTGTAAGCAGCACTGGAATATGCGTGGTTTCCACGTGTGCTGCATGCTGTTCCCCTCAAGATGAGCATTTTCTGCCTCAGATTCTGAAAATTGTGTATACCGTTTTCTCCCGTGTTTGACTTTTCCTGGTAACATTTACGAATGTACCTTGTATAAACATCATGACATTGACCAAATTACAGTTATTTTATCAGTTGTAGCCTGTTTCACACAAAATACAGTTAATGAATGTGTTACAGTATAAATAAAACTAACACGGCAGGTTAAGAAATAGATCATAAATTCATCTGAAGTAAATTTGTAAACAATTCACCTTTCCAGGTCAGCAAGAGAGAAAGATATGACTATCATCCGAGGACAGCTACAATTACACCATCAGAAAACACTCATTTTAGGGTAATTCCCAGTGAGGACAGCCTTGTAAGAGAAGTTGAGAAGGATGCTGCTGTTGAAGATACTGTCTGTACCATTGTGAAGCCCAAACCCAGAGCCCTTTGTAAGCAACTGAGTGATGCAGCTTCTGCTCAGCTTCCTGGACTGCCTCTTGAGGCTCCTCAGATTTCATCTATGTTAGATGCAGACCATATTCCCAGCCCATCCTCAGCAGAAGCTCCCTCAGAACCCAAACCAGCTGCTAAAGTAGACTCACCAACAAAGAAGAAAGGTAATTTGTGTTTGACATCACACAGCATCAGTGTAGATGGTATATTATTTCAGTGTTTTACATACTATGTGTGATAGCTACCTCTGTACTTGTGATCTCCAGGTAGAACCTGTCCTAAACTTCATTGTGGCTTCTCTTACTCTCTTAATTCTACCCAGACAAGACATTAAGCATCCTTACTATTGGTTTCTGAGTCAGTACTCAGTAGGCCTTTAGAGAAGTATTTAGTGAGTCTTCGTATGGGAGATGCTTTGTTTTGATCTGAGACTCTGTAGAGAGTCACAGAGGTAGGAGCTCAAAATGGTTCCTACCATTTCTTAGTTTTATTGTCTCCACCCCCCCAACCTCCATTATGAAAGTTTTATACATACTGTGGTACATCACTTAATGACAGGGCTATTGTGTATTTAGTATTATGTGAACATCATGTTGTTTTTATATGGTGTAAATCAATCAACCTGGTCTCTTGGTGCAATCAGGAGATGCAGCAAACATGAAATTGTGATGCTGTCAGTATAGAGTGACACACTATTTTAGATTTCAGTAGGTAGATGGGAGTGTGCACTAAAATAATGGTGAATACATAAATTAGTCACTTTCTGTCATTATCAGTTATTATGTCCTGTATGTAATTGGATATGCTATACTAATACAGGACTAGCATGCCATAGGCGTGTGTACTCCACCATTACTAGCATGTTACCCTAAGATGCTTCTGGGTGATAGAAATTTCCAGGTGCTTTATGGTATCTTTGGACCACCATTATATGTGCATCCACTAAAGTGACCTTATGTGGTGTAGTGCACTGCTGTGTCTCCTCACCATTTCTTAACTCACAAACAGCAAGTTCTAGGCTTTATGGACATTTCACCCTTACAGACCCCAGGACTTGTCACTTAAGTATATTCTCTGTAGAACTACAGTACTGTTGGCAGATACCCAGAGAAAGGAAGAACAGTATAACCAAGGGAAGGCAAGGGAGTAACCCTGCTGGGGATTGCTCCTGGGCCTTGCTTTAGGCCGATAGTGGCACATCCTGCTTAGAGAAATTCACGTTATTGCAGAGTTGTAAATAGAGAACAGAGTCTTACCTCTGGTGTGTTTTTCTTTTAAAAAACAGGTGTTCACAAGAGAAGTCAGCACCAGGGACCTGATGACATTTACCTTGATGACTTAAAGGCTCTTGAGCCTGAAGTAGCAGCGCTCTATTTCCCTAAAAGGTAGAGTGTGTGTGCGTGTGTGTGTGTGTGTGTGTGTGTGTGTGTGTGTGTGTGTGTGTGTGTGTGTGTGTGTGTGTGCAGGGCGTGCGCGTGCGCATGCATTGAGGTATGCCCAGCTTGGGGGAAACTCCAGTGTTTTCATCTGAGCGCGAGGAACAGAGTGATGGCCTTCTAGCTAAATCTGCTTATTGCTTCAGGTTTGGGGAAGCTCATTGTGTGGTTTTGATTGTAGTGACTGGAAAGTAATATGTTGTTTATGAAACATTTGGTACAGTAGGGACAGTGACTCATGTAAGAGATGAGAGAGGGGGCTGCTGGTGCTCTAGTGCACACTGTACAGGGCAGAGGACAGCTGAGTGCTCTCTCTTTCCATCACAAAGGTTCCAGGGACAAGGTGAGGTTGTCAAGCTCTCACAGCAAGCACGTCTACCTGCTTACCCATCTTGCAGCTTTAGTTTAGTGCTCTTTGTAGTCATCACTAACAAACTGAATATGCTTGAGGAAGTTCTTTGACATTTGTTTTGTGTGTTTTAAAATAGCACATTTTAATTTACAAACATTTTACAAAGAATTTCTTCTCTCCTTTGAAGAGTGTGAAGCCACCTCTGAACTTTCGTCTTACGCCATCCCAGGGGACCCTACCATGTCACAGCACCGTTATCTCCGTCCCTCATCTTTTAAAGTAATTTGACCATGTACCTCCCTCGTCCCTGTCCTCCCAGGTTCATTTTAACCTAAGAGGGATTAGTACTTCATACAGTTTATTTTCTTCTCAGAAAATGTGGCTTCAATCTACTGTGTCGTATACACAGTTGCATTCTTTTATATGAGTTATAGGAAAACATACTTAATTTTTACTTAGAATGGAAAAATGAGACTGGCATAAATATGATTTTTTTTAAACAGATAATTTTGAGAGGTTCTTAAAGTTCATTCCTAAGTCTATACACTAGATTATCTTAAAATACCCACATATTTTATTTGAAGTGATGGGTTTTTAAAGATAAAGAAAAATTGAAGTTGCTCCAGTTTAAGGGCAGGAAAAATTAAAATGTAATATCTCAGATTTATGACTTTCTCTCATATTTCCCAGTCCTTTTTACTTTTATATTAGATTAAAAAAAAAAAAAAAAAAAACCAAAAACCTTATTTGGGAAATAGGGACGGAGGCCAGGCATGCTGGCACGCACTTTTAATCCTAGCGCTCAGAAAACAGAAGCAGGTGGATCTCCGTGAGTAGAGGCCAGCCTGTTCTACATAATGAGTTTCAGGACAGCCAGATGGAGCTGCATAGCAGAAAAACCCAGTCTCAAAAAAGAAAAAAAGTACAATAGTCACTAATACAATGGAATCTTGCCACATTTGGTTTTGGTCTTACTGATAAAGGTTACTGTCTGTTTATTAGCCACACTTAGCATAAGGACTGAAAACTGGGACATGTCATTGACTATTTTATTACATGTAAGTGTGTTCTGTCATGCTTGTCACTCTGTATTACTAAATAGATAATATTTTATTCAGCTAATGTTCACACGTGTCCCATCATCCCTGTGGGTTGCAGCATGCTGAGTCAGATGGCACTCCTTGTGTTGACATGCCCTTACTGGTTGAATGACACCAGCTGCTGTAACTGATAAAGCTTGATGTCTTACTGTTGGGATCGCGTCCCAGCACTAGTGTTGGTGGGAGGCCCACACTTAGGCATTCTTTTATCTCAGGGTCCACACAGGGACAGTCAGGGACAGGACAGGGAGCCTTAGTGTGGAGTGTGTGGAGCTGTCTCCCACAACCACAGCTTAGTCAGTGGCTCACAGGGACTCCAGTGCAGGGGTTACAGAAAACACTGCCTGCCGTCTTCTGCTTTTATCCATGTGTGGATGTTGCCTGTCTGCCCCTCGCTGCATGAGCTTGCTTCATTGCTGTATCTCAGTGGACTTGGCTGTTCAACCATTTTTAATGAGGAGACAGTCTCTCTGTTGGATTCATCTTAGTTTGAAGATGGGCATTGCTGTGAAGAGAAAATTTTCCCCAAACATAAAGCTACATCCTACTAAGGACATGTCTACATACCTATACTCTGCTGCTGCCTACTGCTCATGGCTTAGGTTGTTTGTAGAAGTTCATGTTAATTTTACCAGATGTTATGTTTTGTTTTGCTTCAATAGAACTTAAAACCCTGGGTTCTTGGTCACTTAGTGGCCCAGTGCCTGCCTTGCTACACATGAGGGTCCAAAGTTCAATCCTCAGTACTGAAAAGGAGGGAGAGCTAACTTAAGTTATAAGTAGTTTACATTTCTGACTAAGAAATCTAATGTGCCATTTCCTTATTTCACATGTATGTTCTTTTCCAAAAGGTCCAGTGTGCTCATCTTCAAGCTTTTTGTGCCTTATCTCAAAAAATAACAATAGCAAGGCCCATAGCTCACTGCTGTAAAGACAGTCTACAATTGTCTCGATGGTCTAGCCTCCTCAGTACTTTTTTCTTAAGTATTTTTGCTTTTTAAATTAAATTAGTTTTAGGTAGCAGTAAGATGAATTAAGAAAAAGCCTTGGGTTTTGTTTTAAGAACACAACCTTGGACTTAGTAATTTTCTGCAGACTGTGTATATTACTATGCTCTTTTCTTGGAACGCAGCGATCAAAGGGCTTCCAAATGTCAGCTTTCTCATCATGGCAATTTAAGTAAGTGCTCCTAGCGCTGGCTCTCCTCTAATTTCAGTCCGGAAGGCTCCAGTTGAATGGCTGGCACCATTGAGTGGCTTTGTGAAGTGTTCACTGCATTCATAGTCAATTCCTTAGTACTCAGATTCTTACCAGGTGATCACTTACGAGGTGATTTTTAAACACTACTTTAAAAATCTCTGGAGCAGGGTCGCTGGACAGATGGTTTGGTGAGTAAGAGCACTCAACCGTGAGACGCAGAAGAACCCAGTTGAGACCCCCAGGACCCACACACAAAGGTGCCTGCAACTCCAGCCTTGGATGGCAAGTTGCAGTTCAGGGAGCTGCCCTGTTTTACAGCACATGCATCTGAGTGACAGAGGACACATGGCTGACTCATGCTCTGCCTTGTCATGTGTGTTTGTTACCCCACACTTATATCCACACATCATGCCCGCATACACCCCATCTGTCCCTCATAGGGTTCTAGATGACCATGTCTAAGCCGAAGCTAGAGTAAATCGTCAGTTCTGCTTCCTCCCTCTGCAACAGCGACACAGATCCTGGCTCCCGACCCTGGCCTGAGTCCGACACATTCTCTGGCTCTCAGTCCCCACAGTCTGTGGGAAGTGCAGCTGCCGACAGCGGCACCGAGTGCCTCTCAGACTCTGCCATGGACCTGCCTGATGTCACACTGTCCCTCTGCGGGGGCCTCAGCGAGACTGCAGACATTTCTAAAGGTATGCGGGACAGCCGTGCCGGCCTCCACCTTAGAAGGGCAGCCTGGTCATCACTTGATTCACATCTGTCTTGTGCCCAGCCCTCTGTCCAATAAATACTGGCAAGAGGGGAAGAAATTCATGAAATCTGAGTTTAAACGTTGTGAGGTGTCTGCATTCTTGACTGGCCTTGTGTGAGTGTGGGTGCCTTTCCATAAGGCCTTGTCCTTAGAGTTTCACAGTGTCTTTGTGTGGGGTAGTTTTGTGAGGACCTCTGTCTACCTGGAAGGCTCTAATTTCAGATTCAGAAGTTGGTAACTCACAGGCTGCGCTATCTGCAGAGCAGCAGGGTGGGATCATGCTGCATTGATCTTGCCTGTAAAACTGCTGAAATATCTGTGGGTTGCCCGGCTGCCTTTCTGACAACAGCAGGACTCTGAGGGAGGGCTGTGAAGCTGTGGACAGTGGCTGTCCACTGAGAGACAGTCTGTCTCAGACTTGAGAGGTGTCTGCCTTTGCTCCCCATCTCCGGTGTTGAGAATTAAATGCAGGGCGTTAGGCGTGCTAGGCAAACAGTCTAACACTAGCTACTTCTGATCCCCTTGTATTGTAGTTTAAGTAACACTGAGCCAAGTTGCCTGGATTGACCTTATGTAGTCCAGGCAGATGTGGTCCTGTCTCTGGAAACTTTACATTCACTTTAAATTAAAACTTTTTCTCAGTTTGGCCACTGGCCTGTAATGGCCTTTCCTAAGAGGCAGGATTCCTTTCCATGCCTAACAGCATCACATCAGCACCATCTCTTGTCTCCTTTCCCCTTCAGAGAACCAAAGATGTGGAAAGGGGACTGGGAAGAGAGCCCTGGAGCCCTCAAACGGCAGCAGGGGTGTGAAGGGCGCTAGAAGGTGGAGGCTTTTCCTTTATTTTGGTTTGGGGTTCAGGTTGTTTGTTCGAGTCCTAAAAATATGAAAGTGTCTTTTGAGAAGTATGGAAAACGTAGTTTCTTCTAAAAGCCTTTTTAAGCCCACCCATGAGTTCTTGGGTGCAGAGCACTGTAAGTGTCTCCCACAGGGATCTGTGCTCTCTCACCAAGCTGATGGTCGCTTACCTTGCAGAAAAGTTCATGGAGCATATCATCACTTACCATGAGTTTGCAGAAAACCCCGGCCTTATCGACAACCCGAACCTTGTAATACGGATATATAACCGGTAAATACCGTTGCTTTCATCATTGCTAAGTACTCTGCAGTTTTTAACTGTCATCGCTTGCCTTGCTGTGAAATTTGTCATCACATAAATGACCCAGCATACAGTGACTTGCAAGTGAAACTGAAGCTTCAACTTATTTTTTCCCCGAGTCACTGCAGTGCTGTTACTGTTTTAGGGTTTTAGTGCTGCTCAGCTCACAGAAGTTTGGGTTAAAGCAAATTGTCAAAATTTAGTTGCTCATTTCTTTATTGGAAAGAATAAACAATTTAATAGATTACTCTTCCATTTTTTCCCCTCTAGTCCCCTGACCCTGTCTCTGCCTCAGCCCTTAACCCCCTCTCTGTGCAATGGGTTTGACCAATTTTTGTTTCTTGTAGTTACTACAACTGGGCTTTGGCTGCTCCCATGATCCTTAGCTTGCAAGTCTTCCAGAAGAGTTTGCCTAAGGTGGGTGATCTGCATTTGAAGCCTCCCTCAGAGTATCTGTAACATACAGCAGGCCAAAAGTTTATGTTCTGTACTACTACTGTATTCATCCACTAAATCCTAGGCAATTGCCTGGCCTGCCGTGTTTCCTCGTTTTTGTTAAGTATTTACTCCAGTTTCAGAGATGGGTATGAAGAGTACTCAGTGGTAGAGCACTTTCCCGAGTGTGTGAAGGCCTGAGTTCAGTTCCCAGTAACACAAAAGAAATGGGTAGTGTGGGCACCAGAAAGGGGGCATAAGTGTGGCCGGGACACCTACTTCGCAGAACTTTCTGCCCACCTACAAGTTATCCCTTGCCTGGTCAGTCTCTGTCATAAAAGCTGCAGTGTCCAAAGATAGGAGGTGAAAGTTGTGTGTCTGCTTGTAGAACCCCGAAGTCCACTGGGCCTCACACCACAAAACTGTCCTGGAGCCTTGTCATTTCTAAAGGAATGCATTGCCTTGTGGGCTACTGAAAGCACTAGCTGGGTTTGAGTGTGTAGCGCATCACTCATTCTGTAATAAGCACTGTCCCATAGGAGAGTGGTAGTGAGGAGTCGGTGAATTACAACCGTTAGATTTCCTGTATTGACCCACGCTGACTGTTTGCAGGCCACGGTCGAGTCCTGGGTTAAAGACAAGATGCCAAAGAAATCTGGTCGCTGGTGGTTTTGGCGTAAGAGAGAAAGCATGACCAAACAGGTAATGACTGTGGTTTGTTTTTAAACAACTTTTCCTGCCACTCAAAAAGATAGGGTATGGACACTGATTGGCATTGACAGTAGCCAGCAGTCCTGAGGAGTCAGCTGCATGCAGGTGCTACGCTGGTGCTTTCTACGGTTTGAACTGCCGTTTTTGTTTTTTTTTTTAGGAAGCTTTGTGTTTGTAGACAGAATTGGTTGAAGCCTTGTGAGTAGTGAGGGTGGAGTCGGGGCTAAACTCTTTTAACTTCCTATATCACCTCTCAGGTATGAACGAAAGGTTGCAGTCCTGCACAGATCCCCATGCAAGCGTGCAGAGTATCCCTTTCAGCACAGTAGCAGTAGAGACTGTTCCAGATAGTGGAGGGTGGCCCTGCCCTAACCATGCTCATGTCTGTATCAGTGTGGTCTCTGGCTGCTTCTTTCCTTCTGCGGGTGACAGACAGGAGAAGGCACCAGTAGTCACTTCAGTTGTGTCTACCAGAGACCTGACCATTGGGCCAAGTACATTTTGCAGGCAGTATATGATTTCTGTCCTTCAGCTTCAGTAGAGAAAGTCCCTCAAGGTTCCAGTCCCTGGTTGAGGTTTTTGTTTCCTCACAAGGACTACAACCAAAGTCTGGAGAAAACATCGTACACTGACATTATCCTTATCTTCTTTCTTTCCAGCTGCCAGAGACCAAAGAGGGAAAATCTGAGGTCCCACCAACAAATGACCTGCCTTCCAGTGCTGAGGAGCCAACCAGTGCCAGGTGGGTACCGACCTTTCTCCCAGCTCACAGCACTTGGGCAGTCCTGCTTGGCTGTTACATCAAAGTTGATCTTGGCAATTCTGCTGAGTTTTCTGCCTGAAATATCTTTTCATTAGAGCAACATGACACTAGGTGGCCTTGTCAGTGCCACTAGGTGGATAGGAGCCACCTTTCCTAATTCACCTGACTTGAATACACGTCACTGCTGCTATCTGCTGTGCCCGTCACAGTGCCGGGCTACTGGGAAAGGCAGAGCTTTGGGAAGGGATCCTGGATGTATCCGGTACTGTTGTGCTGGTGTTGTTGGAGGTTCTTTCCCACCTTGTCCCGTAACTGTCTAACCCCAAGTAAACATGCAGAGACATATATTAATTATAAAACTGTTGGCTGATGGCTAGACTTCCTGTTCGCTAACTCTGTCTTAATTATTAACCTATTTCTGTTAATCTATGTTCTTCCACATGGTCTTGGCTTGTGGGAGAATGCCAAGACCTGTTAATTCCTTTGGCGACTCCTTTCGGCACTTCTCCACCTGTCTTTCCCAGAATTCTCCCCTGGCCTGCCTATCTTCCCTGCCTCTATCGGCCAAACAGGATTTTATTCATCAACCAATAAGAGAAACATATACACAGAAGGACGTCCCCCACCATGCTGCTATCCCTACTCCTGCTTTTCAGGTGGCAAAAGGGACTAAAAACGCTTTTGGAGGGTGGGTTGTGGGGACACTGTCCCCTCCTTGGGCATTTGAGTTGGCATGCCCTGTGGAGAGTTGAGCATGTTGTATGTGTTTACATTCCCAATCCCTCTTGTATGGCAGTCCTAGTCTAGGAATTTATCTTCTCAATCTTATCTCCTCTTAGAAAAGAAGTATAAAATGAATTTTTTAACTTTAGAAATATTTCCTGCTATGTCCATGAATGCTTATTTTGCCAGTGATGTTTTAAAGGATTCAGAAGTAACTTCATGCCACTTAGAAGAGGGAGGCAGATGGTGGCCTTTTAAATTTGTGATGCCAATAGTTACGGCATACGAACATGGGTATGTGGTGGGATAAATGGTGGGGGAAAAGGTTCTTGCTGTCCTAGAAAAGGGTTGAGGGTTATTTGTTTTTGAAACCAGATCCTCCTGTATAGTTAAGGCTGGAACAGATCCCCCTGCCTCTGTCTACTGGAGATTGGGATTATGAACGTGTGACACTTGTTTATTTTCTTGTCCTAAATTATAAAAGTTCTCACCTATCAAATGCCTTGCCTCTTTTGTGACTAGTTTGGTGTTGGATAGGCCTGCAGAGAATGATACTTCTAGTGATGAGGGGTCACAGGAGTTGGAAGAAACGATCAGAGTTGATGCCATCTCCATGGAGACATCGAGTCATTGTAGCACAGCTTCATATAAGAAGTCTCTGCGACTCTCCTCAGACCAGATAGTAAGTATTTTGCAGTAGAGTTGTGCTTGTAGAGAAATGCTTCTCTAGGGGAACAGTGTCCCAAACCTCGGTGAGCAACTAGGGTCACTCAAGGAGCCTGAGACCTGGTCCCCCACATAGAACTCCTACATCAGTTTCTGGAAACGAACCAAGGAGTGAGTGTTTGTAGCAGGTGTCTTTGGTTAATCTCACTCCTCACTCAGCCCAGGACGACATGACGCCTCTTGGGATTCATAACAGCAGAGCAATGGCATTTTAAATGCAGTTTCCTGTGTCTCTCTTTGACACGGTTTTACTGTGAAATGGCTTTACATGAGGCTGTGGCCTGACAGTGATGAGTGAGCTTAGGTGGGGTGGTTTTGTTTTGTGTAGGGTGTCAGGGAATCCTTGGAATTGGAAAACAGTACTCCAGCAGTACTGCTTCCTCAACCATTACCTGCCTGAGTTGGGACCAGGCCACATGCTAACACCGAAGGAACCACAAGCCCTGAGTTTTGTTGTAAAGCTCTAAACTCTGTTCCAAAGTCTGTATTTTCAGCTTTCATTAATGTTATGCTTTTTATGAAAGGCAAAACTGAAGCTCCATGATGGCCCCAATGACGTTGTATTCAGTATTACAACCCAGTATCAGGGTACCTGTCGTTGTGCGGGTACCATTTACCTGTGGAACTGGAATGACAAGGTCATCATTTCTGACATTGATGGGACAATAACCAAGTAAGTTTGAGCATACTCTGGTAGCAGAAAGGATATGGGTTGGGAAAGCAGTCGGTCCTCAGCAATAATGAGTGTGTCTTTTAAACCATGTGCCCAAAGATGTCCTGAAAACAGCCCAAATGAAGTCATTTTTATGGGTGAGGAGGAGGTGTGTGGAACCATACAAATGAATTCTCAGACGTAACTTGGAAAGATTGACTATTTGGTTACCAAATTCTAATGTCCAACGAAGATAAACTGTTAAGATTGTGGGGATGAGGAGAGAAGGAGGATGTGCTGGTAGATTATCTTTGAAAATAAATACTGTGTTTTCCTCTAACTCCCTTTTTGGGAGCACCTAAGGTATATTATTGCAGAGTGGCTGCCTTTAGCTGCACAGAGTCAGGATGAAACCAGCTTGGGGGAATGCCCCCAGCTTGTATCTCCCCACCCCCCATTGCTTATTGGAAGCCTGTATGGAAGATGCTCAGTTGTATGTGTTGGTTCCTCTTTCTACCCTCTTACCAGGTCTGATGCTTTGGGACAGATTCTCCCACAGCTGGGTAAAGACTGGACTCATCAGGGCATCGCAAAGCTCTACCATTCTATCAATGAGTAAGTACTCGTTCCCATGCTTCCTTTTCCCAGTTTGGCTTTGACCAAGAATTAGAGAAAAATGGGGTAAACCTGTGTACATTGTGTGTTTGTGGCCTAAATATTATTTTAGTTTTGTTTTCAAAACCCTTGTGTGCTTGGTATCCTGTTAGTGGGTTTTACATGCCATAACTCAGCTAAGATCTGGAACCGCCTACTTTCCTAGGTCATCAGAACTGTAACTGCTTGTAGCTAGGATTTATCAGGAGAGCTGACTTTCATGTCTGGTTTACTTACTGTGTCGGTAGAATAAGCACGCTTGGAAAACGATTCCTAAAGGGAAGCCATGCCGTCCTTTTTGGGTTCCTAGCATGCCCACATGCTATTGATCTAGAGATACATAATGCCATCTTCAACTTGAGCTGAGAATACCATACGATGAAAATCAGAGTATATCAGTTACTGGGGTGTAATTACGCCCCCTGTTCTATAGAATGGCTTGTGACCTAAAAACTGAAAAAGGCCCTTAGCTAGTTCCTTTATATAGCAAATACCTTACACATAGTCCGGTTCTGTCCATTCTGGATCTTTTTCTGAACTGGGTGCAGCATGTATTTTATCAGTGCTTTGCAGTTCAACATAATCCATTTTTGCACATACCTCTGTTTTTCCCATGATTTTTATTTAGTTTGTTTATACAGTTTTTCAAAACAGGGTCCCCCTGTGTAATAGTTCTGGGTTGTCCTGGAACTAGCTCTGTAGACCAGGCCGACCTTGAACTCAGAGATCCGCCTGCCTCTGCCTCCTGAGTTCTGGGTAAAGGCGTGCACCACCACCAGCACACCACTTTCCCATGGTTTCTGACCCTAACTGGTTTCCTTCTAAATTCAGTAATTTCATTTTCAAAGTAAATGAGAGAAACTTAATTTGGGGGGGGGGATGTTTTTCCTTTATCCAGAAGACATGGCTAACCTAGTTTTTTGTGTTGTTTGTTTAGGAACGGTTACAAGTTTTTATACTGTTCTGCACGTGCCATTGGCATGGCCGACATGACCCGTGGTTATCTGCACTGGGTCAATGACAAGGGCACGATCTTGCCCCGAGGCCCTCTGATGCTGTCTCCCAGCAGTTTGTTCTCTGCCTTCCACAGGTAGCTTTGCAGGGGGGAGCATTGGGCTGGAGGTAATGGGGGTGTTGGGCTGTGGCCCAGAGCCTAGTGGAGTGTGTGAACATACGGTAATGTGTCTGTGTTTTCCTTCATTTGTTGGCTCTCTGAAGTGCTCAAAGGTGACTTCACAGCATGACTGTTCCCATAGGCATTATTACCCAGATACTCTCACAAGAGGATAGGTGATGCGTGGGGGTGAAGATCTGTCCTAGAACATACTCCAGTAAAAACTACCAGTTTGAACTTGATGATTCCATTTCCTTTTCTCTAGGGAAGTGATAGAAAAGAAACCAGAGAAGTTCAAAATTGAATGTCTGAATGATATAAAGAACCTGTTTGCCCCGTCCAGGCAACCCTTCTATGCTGCCTTTGGAAACCGTCCTAACGTAAGTAACTTTGGAGTGTGTGCTGAATCCTGTGTGAGCAAAACTCAGGGAGAGGTGCATTTTAGGGCATAACCACATCATAGTTCTCAAGCCAGGTCTAAAAGCAGAGTAAAATGGCTATTCTGCCCAGTGGGGTCTCACTTGATGTGCACCCCACGCCCAGGACTGGAGATTCGCCCTAGAGCCTTGTGCGTTCTAGGCCATTGAGCTGTGTTATTCCTTTAAAAATTGTTTTATTTTTATGTGGATAAATAATATATATGAGAGTGTGTGCGTGTGTGCATGTGCGTGTGTGTGTGTGTGCGTGCGTGTGTGTGCGTGCGTGTGTGCGTGTGTGTGTGCGTGCGTGTGTGTGCGTGCGTGTGTATGTGTGTGTGCGTGCATGTGCGTGTGTATGTGTGTGCGTGTGTGTGTGCGTATGTGTGTGCGTGTGTGTGCGCGTGTGTATGTGTGTGTGCGCGTGTGTGTGTATGTGTGTGTGTGCGCGTGCGCTGCCTTTTGTACTGCATCCTGTTGGGGGTGAGGGTTCTGTCCTCCAAATATGGGCCTACTGAAGGTGCTATTTCAATATTCTCAAGAGGACCCTGCTTTGCTGACTCCATGTGCACTTTGTGGGTTTGTCTAAAGACTTGTAGTCTTCAGTCAGTGTAGGGGTTCTGGCTTATGAGGAACCTGCTAAGTTTTCATTTCTTCTCCAGGATGTCTATGCTTACACACAAGTCGGAGTTCCAGACTGTAGAATATTCACCGTGAATCCAAAGGGTGAATTAATACAAGAAAGGACCAAAGGAAACAAGTCATCGTAAGTACACTTAGGCTGTGGCCAGGGCACAGCTGAGCTGAGCACAGATTAAAAACTGAGGCAGGCCCAGCCAGGAGGAGCAGAGCTGTACATCAGTGAGCACTTTCCTTGTGGAGAGCAGCTTCAGGGATAGGGCTGCGCTCCAAGTAAGTGCTGAGCAACCCTCCTGCTGTTACCTGAATTGCCAGCCTCACAGCTCATGGTCCTTTTAGTATTTTACTATTATTTTTTCTTATTTTACATATCAATCCCAGTTCCCTCTCCCCACCCCACCCCCACCCTGCACAGGGAGGGTGATGCCTTCCAGGAGGGATCATCTAAATCTGTCAAGTCATTTGGAGTAGGGACTAGGCCTTCCCTCCTGTCTCTAGGTTAAGGGAATATCCCTCCATGGGGAATGTGTTTCCAAAGTCCTTTCCTGCACCAGGGGTACATCCTGGTTCTGCTGTCAGAGGTCCCTCAGACTGCCCAGGTGTTCTAGCTGAGACCCATGTTCAGGGGGTCTGAGTCTGTCCAATGCTGGTTTCCCAGCTGTCTGTCTGGGGCCCATGAGCTCCCCCTTGTTCATGATCTTGTGCTAGACGTGAGTTGTAAAGTAACAGCTTGTGTCTCTCCCCAATCCCTTCCAGGTACCACAGGCTGAGTGAGCTTGTGGAACACGTGTTTCCACTTCTCAGTAAGGAACAGAATTCTGCCTTTCCATGCCCAGAGTTCAGTTCCTTCTGCTACTGGAGAGACCCAATTCCTGATGTGGACCTGGATGACCTAGCTTGAACAGGGCCTGTATGGCTAGGTGGGGGCACTGCCACTCACCTCCCAGCAGAGACAGTAACTGGCCCTCCTGCAGATGAAGACCCAGGGCTGCAGTCAGGAACCTGCTTTCCAGAGCGGGGACAGAGTCCCGAGACTGGCACTGCTGCGTCTTTCACCTTCCCAGGACAGAGGAGGTACCAGCCTGTGCTCCGTTACACGTGGGCCCTCACATGCTTCCCGTGGAGTTATGCTGCGCACCACTCAGCTGCATAACTTAAGTGGAAGAAATCAGAAACTGAGAAAGAGTGGACCAGCACATTGCTACACAAGTAAAGAGTTAAAATCTCCACTGGTCAATCAGGTCGCTTCTCTCTGTAACCAGGGCTTTCTCCAGAGGTTCCAGTTGTTGTCCTCCTGGACACCTCCAGTCTTGCTCACTGAACGAGAACAGCTGCTTCATGTACCACGTTGGGCAGCCCCACTACCTGTGTGCCCACCTGAGCCCACCTGCTCCGGCGTGGGCTTTGAGGGGCGAGCACCCTTGCACCATCAACCCCTCACCAGTGCCTGCTGCACAGTGAGAAAGAAGCCGTTCAAGTCACTGTCTTAGCCAGAAGAACAAATGCACATTCTGTGTCCAGAGTACTAGTGAGAGATCGGTTTAAAGTACATAGAAGGCAGCAGGCTCGCCTCAAGTGTAGAAAGGCACTTACACTGGGTCCTGAGAGCCACCCTAACCCTGACACTGTTACCTGGCATAAGTGGCCCTTTGCAGGTGGGTGTTTCAGGACGTGTGGATTTCTGGAGTTCTGGGCTTCAGAGTTGCTTGGGGGAAAGCCTTTAGCTAGTGGCATTGCCCAGTCATTTGGATTTCAACCATGTAATGAGTCCCTGGAGGCATGGAGGGCCTGCTCCAGCCAGCACCTCGGCAGTGGTGTTACAGGTGCGGCCTGGGGGAATGGGGGCCTCCATTTCCTGGGCAGCATCATACATTGGCCTAGTTAATGTGTCAGAAGAGATGGCTCCAGGGAAAGTCAAGTCCTGGAATCTCCAGAGCCTGTGATCAGCTGGGGTGACAGTCACCGCGGTGCGAGCATCACAAGACCTGTGGGTGGGACCTGTCCTGAGACAGACGGCCCTCGACTGGGAAGGTGGAAGCGAAGGCTTCTGAGCAGAGAGGGGACCCCAGATAAAGACATTCCCTGCAGTTGGATGGCTAGCCTTGTCATAGTGTTTTAATTTGCTTCATCCAAAATGATACTCACCTAGGTTGGTTTAGGAAAGGGGTGGTTATTTTCCAGATTGGAGAGTTGAGTGTCCTGCCTCATTTTTAGTATTGCAGTTGAATGCAGAGACCATGGTAAAATTCTTTAATAAAAGAAGAAACCCTTTGAACATAGTTCTCAAGCAGCAAAACCACTGGAGGCACGTGCTCCCAGAGAGGTGCTCCCAGAGAGGGGCAGCAGGCTTCCACAGTGCTGGCCTTCCCCATAAGTAGTTCATATCTCCTTCATGAGCTGTTTGTGTTAGGCAATAGGGAAACCTAGTTGTTTATGTGAAATTCTTCAGTTAGTGAAATAAGATTCTGCTAAAGCAGCCACTTGGCCACCTCCTGGGATTTAGCACACTTTGATTTAAGGGATAATGAGAGTTGTTTGTGCCTAACCTGAGCTTAGTAGAATCTCTGTGGTACAGAAAATCTTATCATGTTTCCTCTTTAGATTGTTTTAGTTTGTCCTTGATGAAGTTTTTGCCTAGGTAGTCTGACTCTTTTCTTTGGACACATGGGCCTTTTCAGAGGACCCAGCTTAGGGTCTGGGGCTCCTGGCCTGTGCTGATCCTTCTGCCCCAGTGTCCATTACCCCTGCACTTGTCACTACAGAATGATCCTTGGGTATTTAGGCTAATGAAGGTAACTCTTTTTCCTTATTTAAAGGAGTATTCTCGCTGAAAGTAGATAATTACTGTTACTATAGAGTTACGAAGTATTAGGTTTGTGCTGAAAATCCATTGCCATTTGTTACAAATGACATTTGTTCTTTCTGTGAAAGAGAGATGCCCTCACGTGTGTTTGCACACAAGCCCGTAGATTTCTTGCTGCAGTGTGCCCTTGCCATCAGTGTCAGGTGATACTGAAGAGACACTGCTGCAGATTGGCCTCTGAGTTGTTGCATCAGTGAGATGGCTCCCGTGTCCTCCAGGCCACTCTAACGTCGGTGTTTGCTTTGATGTCGAGTGTTGGAGCTTGCAACTGTTGTAGAATTGATGGCTGCTCTCCATCAGGCTGTGTAGGATGCACATGCAGACCTGGGGAATACACACTTAGCCCCGAGATCAGTACTGCATTGCCTGTGGTCCAACCCGTCTGCATAGTATCATGTGGAAAAAGAAATGTACTATTGTGATGACCCAAAACTAAAGCTGCTAAAATAATAATAATAATAATAATAATAATAACAGAACAGACTAGGACCAGAGCTAGAAGGCAGGGAAGCTTCTGCCCTTCACAGCCCCTTTGCCCATGGGGCTGGTCCAGCCATCTGTAGTGCTCCTGAGAGCATCTGTGAGAGAGAAATGGCTAAAATCACACGAACACCTTCTCTCTGCAGTGATTGTTGCAGGAGCTTACCTTACAGCTTCACTGTACAGTTCTGGGACACCTTGTTCCTGAGCTTGAGAGCGTGCTGGAATTTATTTAAAACTTGGTGAAGTGCTGTTTCCAGGTGAAAGCTTGCTTTGATTTGAAGATGAAGGAAGGATTGCTCTTTGAATAATTGCATTAGAAAGCATTGTCACTAAGCAGTTTAAGTTGTGTAATTGTAAACACCAGTACAGTACCTCAGAATGGCTCATATTTTGGTGCAGTGTTTGATGTTCACAACAAGATGTTACAATAATAAACTAACATGAACTGAGTGCATTGGGTTCTTTCCTTTAGAGGACGTTTGACCATCGCACCTGTGTTAGTACTAGACATTGGTAATTGCAGTTATCACTTATATATGAATAGCATTTTTATCTTTGTTGACATGTTTTCTAAAGGAGGAACCTCTTCCTGTTGTCACTTGTAAGCCCTGATTCCAGAAGCTCCATCCACAGGGACTAATGTTTGTGCCTTGTTGGTTCTTCCAAGAAGTGATTAATTCGTACACCGTTTCTCTTATAGTCTAGCTGCCATACCAGCCCTCCAGAGTCTCCGAGGAGTCCTGCTCAGCCTTCAGTAGCCCACCTTTATTAAGGAATATTAACAATAATTAATAATAACCTTTATTAAGCCCTTCCTAAGGTACGTGGCAGGTTACAGTCCTGATGTTTCCATCGGATAGCGGAGTGGACATGGTCTGTGATCACAACCCCACATCACACAGGTGATAACAGGCGTTAATGTCCTCCATCCTGTCAGGTCACTGGGCAGTGGGCACTACACCTGTTGGAGCACAGATTCTTTGACGCAAATGTTTTGTTTGATGCTGCTTTTCTGTGATGAGAGGCTGGGTGACGGAAACCACTGGCGTCTGGGTGGTGTGCTTTGGCCTAGGAAGGAATAGTCTGAGTAGGAGGAGGTGTTCCTTAGAACATTCTGGGGTGCTGTGAGAACGGGTGTCCATTCATGGGCCCAGAGGACCCAGCTCGTCCGTCCTTCTGTGCAGTCCAAACCCCTGCAGCCTGCAGCATGTGTCCTTCCTTTCCCTCGTAGGATGGCGTAAAGGAAACACGGGTGTCTCTTTGGCAAGCGACAGGGGCCTGGACTTGCGGTGTCTGCTTCCCTTTGATGCTGCACATGTGTGGGACGCAAGAACAGTGCTGGCCACATGCTAATCTGGAAATGACCTAAAAGACACCTTGAGGGGCCCGAGAGACGGCTCAGAGGTTAAGAGTGCTGGTTGTGCTCTTCCAGAGGTCCTGAGTTCAATTCTCAGCAACCACATGGTGGCTCACAACCGTCTGTAATGAGATCTGGTGCCCTCTTGTGGACTACAGGCAGAACACTGTATATATACATAATAAGTAATCCTTAAAAAAAAAAAAAACAAAAAAAAAAACCTTGAGCAGATTTGCACTCTTCCTCGGAGGTTCCATCTAGTTGTAGTTTTTAGTCAGTCAAACAGCCCTATTTGGTGGTGGTACATGTTGGGCAAAATGCCCCAGTCCTTCAGAAGTGCTGCCGGTATTCCAGTAACCGACAGCTCCCTGACTGACTTCGCCAGTTGTATCCTGAAGACGGCATATGTACCCTGTGGTGTCTGCCAGTTATCCCTGCTTGGGACGACACAACAAGACCCTGTCTCAAACTTTTTTATAGTTCATCGAAGCCTTAAGTCTGAGTAAGTACTTAAATTCACTCTATACCTCTGACTCATGGGCACATGACTTGTGGGGTGTGGTGACTTAGGGGGCTGCTCCAAACTCTCCTCCCCCAGACAAGTCCTGCATGACCTCATTTTCTATCTTAAAAAAAGACTCTTCCTTTTAACCCTGTCTCCTGCATGGGCTACCACCCAGTTTTCATCCCCTTTTGTCCTGTAGCAAGCATGGGCTCATTCTGCTTTGCCTGTTGGACAGAGAGAAGTAAGTGCATCTTTGCCAGCAATGGAGTCAAGTCACACACACTTGGAGGGGTGAGTTCTGTGTGGTGCTCTAGAGACCTGTGTCGGAGTGGGGAATGCAGTGGCCGTTTGTCTCCTGTCAGATCCCTGCCTTCCCGCCACTGAGCACTTACTTGGCCAGTTTGGCAGTGGATAGGGTCTTCAAAGAAAAGTGTGAGGAGAAAGTGCAGACGCACGCATGCGTGCCAGCTGGGTTTCCCTAAACACACCGCTGCTTTGGATTTTTCCATGAGTCATTGCTAGGACAGGCCAGGATACTCTGGTAGCCTTGGTAGCCAACTCCCCAGCTGTAGAAACAGCGAGAACTGTAAAATGTGCTTTCCAGCGTCTCTTAAAACCCAAGGTGTTTTCATAGCATCAGCCTCTTCTGCCAACTGGGTTAAGAAGACAAGGCTATGGCAACTCCGGTTTCCCTGCCTGGATCTGGGCGAGTTGCCTTTCCCTATGGGTGCTGGCTGACCAACAGGCTTTTCCCAAACCTGGTTAGCAAAAGCCACCGAGCTAAACTCCCCAACTGTGCCTAGAGCTTTGTGGAGCTCCTGGGAGAGGATCATTGTGCTAGAGCTCCTAGAGACTAATACGCCTGTCCTCTCAGATGATCTCAGCCTCCAGTCGGCCTTCCCATTCATATTGGGCCTCTTGTTGCTTAGGAACCAGGGTGGGTAGTGAGCTGAGTGGAGCAGTGAGCGAGGAGTCTCATTAGCCTGTAATCAGATCACTTCCCCTAACAGCTCCTCTTCAGCAGAGGGAACCATGGTAAGCCCCGGCCGACCTTTAAGGACATCTGGTCTGTGTTTACCAGGCAGAATCAAACACAAATGTGTACAGCCTGGAAGCTGACAGGTAGCAGTTGTCTATCTAGGTTGCTTCTTTTTTTTCCCAATCCATATGGTGGTATCAGATACAGAAGAGGAACATAAAGTGATTTTGACATCTTTATTGATGCTCCCTGTCTTTGCACTTATATTGTACATGTCATTAAGGAGCCCAATGAGCTTCATAAATAATGTCTGTTACATCCCCCTTTTGTAGCAGGGCCCAGACAGTAACTGCAAGCCAAGTGTGGGACAGCCCAGATTAAACTCTGGGTCCAGGCCACATCAGCATTTTAGCATTTAAAGAGAATCATCTGCTCCAGTGTTCTCTGGTGAAGGCCAGCTACAGGCCCAGCCCAGTCAGGGAGCATCCACAGGTAGCACCACATAGGCCCAGCCCAGGAGAAGCCAGCTTCTAGCCAAAGGGATTTACTAAATCTTCTGGTTGCCCAGTTAGAGTTCCAGAAAAAGGGAGGCCACATTAACAGTGTGTCCCTTCCAAGACTATCTGGAAACTCCTAAAGGGGTAGCAGTCTACAGTGAGGTAAGAGCTTTATCCTGCGGACAGGTGGAGTGTGTGTAGCAAACTAGACCAGTGTTCCAGTTACATAAAATGTATATATTAAAGCCTTAAGAGTTTTTACAACCTTCCCCTCCAGACTTCCCTAAAGGTGGGAAAGGAAAGGATACAGGAAAACACCACTAAAGGTGGAGTACATTTCGTCAAAGTCTGTGTGAGCCAACCTGCCCCCAGTCACCACCACATTGACTCCATCTCCTGCCTTCAAGTGCACGATGAGGTGGAAGACGCCCGGGCCCCCACAGGTGTGCACAGCCCCAGGAGGACGATGATATTCCAGGGACTCTCTCCTGTATCCAGCTGTGTGCAGCTGGGCAACGCTGGCGTTGGCAACGGACAGGACTGCTTCCACATAGGTATCTCTCTCCGGGGTGAGGGTGGCTGTGATCAAGTAGCGCCCATCATAAGGTGCAGTAAAGACTCCTAGGAAGAGCGAGGCAGACCGGTGAGCGCTGTGGTGCCCTCAAGACCCGTGCCACACAAGGCCCCACCTACCCTGTTACAGATCTCAAAGAACCTCTTGTTTTCAGTGTGAAGATGAGCTGCTACACCACTTCTCTCATACTGATGCGTTCCTCATTTCATAGCCCACTGCCTTAGCCTTGTAACATCCAAAAGATTAGAGCTCAGTAACCCCAGGACTTGGAGTAACATGATGCTTCTCACCTCCTAAACCCTGGGTGTCCTGAGACAGCTGTTGAAAACAAAGCTTGCCCAGCCCAAGGAGGCCATGCTAGCTCTCATCTGGAAGATTCAGCCTCTTGGATATAGATAATGTCTACTGTGCCCAGAGGCCCTGCTCTCCACCAACCAAGTGCCTCCATCCCAGGAAGGGAGGGTACTAGGCCATTAATACTAAGAGCCTAGTCTTCAAGTATGCTTGAGACCCCCTGCCCCCTTCCATGCTAACTATTTAAATCATGTCCTGTTTATAACTCGTATACCCTTTCAGGGGGTGCCTGACTCTGAGGACAGTTCAGGCCCCAGTGTACCGGGCCAAGCTTTTATCTGCCTGTCTGATGCGGGCAAGCCTAGCTCAACATCTCCTGGAACTTGCTTGACCTGAGGACGAGACCAGTGCTAGGAATGACAAAAAGGGTGACTGCCTGCTTGTGACACCAGCCTATGAGAGTCCCCACACCAGCCCCCTCGATCCCAATCAAAACCCCCAGCTCTGGCACAGAACTGCTAAGCATAGATTAGAAAAGGTGTTAAGCTTCGCTCCAAACAGTCTCTCTGAGGTCTGCCAGTGACTTTGATGCAACTGACATTTCAGAACCAGTGTGTGTGTCTTATAGCCAGATGGAAACCAGGCAGGGAATTGTGGAGAGAGTGGCTAAAAATTACCAGGAAAATAATGAAGACCCTGTCTACATAAACAGTAACTGCTACAGGCAAGGAGACAGCGCCCCATGGTCCACACGAAATCATCCTGGGCAGCCAGTGACGGCCTCCGAGAGAATTGTTGCTTTTAAGGGGTAGGGACGCCCCATGCCTGGCTGTCAGGAAAGACGCAGTGCAAGCTATAAGAAGGGGAAGAAGGCCATGTTGCCACAGCTTGTAGCAAGTTCCACCACCCTGCTCTCACAGGGTTCCCTGGAAACAGGCATGGTGCTGCAGACAAGCTCCAAAGTCCACAGTTCAATTCTTTCGGTGTGTGAGCCCCTTTTTTGGCTCACATCACAAACACAAGATTCTGAAGGAGTCCCTGCCTGACGATTCACAGATAAATCGTGCTTCGTGGCCAGTGTGTGATGAGGCAGTGTGACAAAGCAGCTCATGGTCCTCTCCAGCTTCAGAGAACCAACACAAGGTGGGAGGGGCGGGGTTGGGGCCCTGCACTTGGGTGGGGCAGGACAGAATCCCACTTCACTCACCAGTTTTGGGGTTGTAGACATCCCCATCATTTACCAGCACCTTGTTAAAGAGGACGACACCTCCATCTTTGGGAAAAGGCTTCTGGGTGAGACCGACTGAAAAGGACACCAGGGCAGGCAGTGGTACCCCTAGGGCAGAGAGAGGCAAGAGTACATGGAAAATTGATGTAGACTTGGGTGTGCGCTACACCTCCTGCCGAAGGTCCAGAGCCTCTGAGCCCATCAGACCAGCTGTGAGACACGCGGGCATGCCGTATGAAAGCCCCCAAGGGGACTGAACTGAGTATGTGTGTAAGAAGGAACGCAGTTGTATATGTGTGTAGGTGAGAACCATCTAGGGAGCTTCTGCTTGTGATTCAATAAAACCTGGACTCCAGGAAGCTCATCAGGACCACACAGAGCCCAGCCCACCCAAGTGCTCCCCTTGGAGACAGTGTGGGAGGAAAAAGTCCTGCCTTTGAGCCCCTCTAGGGCTCCAGTGCATAGAGGCCAGGACCTCAGGGCTGTTGGGTGTGGAAGGGCCTGGCTCCAGGCTCTACCTATGCCAGCAGCCCAGGGGATAGAGGCAGGAAGTGCAGGATGAGAGACCGCCCAGACGTACGATTCTGTCCAGGAAGCTGAGTAGACATACCTGAGGTGGCTACAGGATGTGACTTGGGGTAGCCTGAAAAAAAAAAAAAAACAGTGGGATGTCAAGTCCTGAACAGGGGTTTACAGAACTCTTTCAGCCTTCACCAGAAATGCTCAAAGTGGATCTCTACCACTAAAGAAACAGCAAGAACACAAGTTTGGAGTGGGTTTCTTCACCTGCCGCCCTGCACTTAGAGTACAGCAGTCGGTCGGGCAAGGAGACTCCAGTGTTAGACATGTGCAGACTCCCAGAGGACATAAGCACAAATGAACACACAAGATGGACTCGTGATGGCCACAGGCCTGGTGGCTAAGGTCACGAGTCTCTCCTCCCCAGACTGCCAATGGCTGGGTGCTGTTGCAGGTTGTGCAACCTAATCTGTTTCGAAAGGCACTGTGTGTGTTGTCCCCGGCAGGTGTATTTGTTTACGGCCATGTCCCAAGACACACAGGAAACAAAACCCACCAATAGTGGCTGCTGCTGCTGGAATGCCCACAGATAGAGATGGCTTTAGTCCCAACTCTGGTTATGTCTGATCATTTCTCTCACTCCTGGCCAGGGCAATTACATTTTTATTTCTTTTGCTGTCCTGAGGTGTTCTTAATAGCCACATGTCAGATCAGGAAAAAAATAGTTTACCCAAACTCGTGCCCTTGAAAGCTACCTTTCTGAACTTTGTCCCCTAAAGGTAGAGCTATACACCCACAGCACGCACGCACGCACACACACACACACCAGCAGGCATAGGCTAGAACAGCCTGCCATCCTGTGCCTTCTGAAGGGTGGACTTACCAGGTGCACCTGCATAGCCTTCTGAGCTGGGGATGGCCCCCTGCCCCATCTGTCCATCCACTCCCTGGGGCAGGCCCCTCCCGGACATGCCCATCCTGCCTGGAGGCCCAGCTTCTCCAGTCTCCATGATGACCCCACTAGAGCCAGGCAGGAAGGGCAACCCTGAGCGGCCAGGCCAGGCAGGTAAAGGGGGTGGCTGCAGGGGCCTCTGGGGCAATACTGGCCACTGGCCTGTCTGTGGTGGTCTGGCAGGGTCCTCTGGCAGTGGGGTCAGGTTGGGTGGCTCAGTGGGGGCCTCTTCTGAAGGTCTGGTGGGTTCAGATGTTTCAGAAGGTTCTTCTGCTAAGCAGTGAAAAAGAAAGACAGGGTTAACATGTCTCCAGGGTCCCAGCGTGAGGCTCTATGGCACAGCTCTTGATTACCAACAAACAGCTGTGCCTGCGTAGCTGAGGCATTGACCCCAACAGGATGCAAAGAATACCACAGCTTCAGACTGCTTGCCTGGTGTCTTCTGAAGAAACTGCAACCACACTGCCTCTGATCAGCCAGGGAGAGCTGGGGAGACAGCTGGGCCCTCAGTGCAGATCGTCACCCTCCAAAACCGCGATCCCAGCTCCTGCTCCCCATACCCTTTCTCTGCACGCTCACATCCCAGACACGTCTACCATCGGGGTCTAATGCCATTGGCCAGCCTCCGTGTCAGGCTGGTGGTCTCACTGCTGGTTCCTGAAGGGCATCACCCGTGGAGGGACTTCCCAAGAGGGGAACCTCCTGCTTCATGTGTCTCTGGTGGCCACCGCAATGGCTCAGCCCAGAACCACCAGCCCCTTCCTTTGTCTGAATACATTTCCAGGAACTGGCATTCCAACAAGTCCTTGCTACGTGCTCACAAAACAACTGAAAACGTACAACTTGTGCAAGCAAAGACAACCCACCTCCTTTGTTAGTCTGGTGCCTGCTGTGCCCAGCTGTAGCTGGACAGTTACAGTGACAGATACTGTAGGTCAAATACATGTTGATCCTCCACCCAAGAACAGTGGCCAGAGCACCCCCAAAAGTTATTGCTCAGCCTTGCCTGGCCAGTGTTCATGAGAGAATAATAAGCTCAAAAAAAAAAAAATGATTTGAGAAAATCACCACCTCAGTGGAAATTCCCACTGCAGATAGACGCAGGCAATAAACGTGATGCTATGACTGTGGCATCATGCAGGAGGCTGAGGCAGGAGGATTACAAGTCCTAGACCAGCCAGCACAGCTGAAACCTCTCAGAAAAAAATACAAGCATCCTTTCTTCAAAAGCAACAGGAGCATGTGGTCCAGAGACACATGGGAGGAAACCGTGAAAGAATTGAGGGTCTTGCACAGGTCAACGGTTGAAGGTGAGGACCATGGGGAGGGAAGTCACAGACGGGAAGCAGAAAAAGTTCACAGGGAAAGCTTGCTAATATATCCAAAAATTTTGGATATATTTTGTAACAGAGAAAGTTGTACTGAGGGCTGTTGAAAGTTGAGAAAAATAGCATGTGTCCTCACATATCTGAAATCTACTTTCATTTTGCCCATATGTGCATGTACGCATGTTTTGTATGTGTGCAGTGCACATGTGTAGAGGTAGAAGCCAAAGGTTAATGTCATTGCTATGCGGACCTCCCTTATGGCTCCCCATTATTCACTGGGGCAGGGCTCTCAATCAAAGCTAGAGCTCATTGATAAGGCTAGTTTTTCTAGCCAGCTTGCCCTGGGGATGCCCTGTCTCTCTGCCTTGTGAGGCTAGAATTACAGGCAGGCCTCCACGCCTACCTGGCATTTATGTGAGTTGCCTGGAATTCTGAGCCTTCTCCCAAACCTCTTGTGAATAAGGACTTTTCTAAAAGGTCATAAGCCAATTGTGGTGGGAAATCCCAGCACTCAAGAGGCAGGAGGATCTCCTTGAGTTCGAGAACAGCCAGTCTGGTCTACAGATCTGAATCAATCACTTAGACTCTGCCTCAAAAAAAAAGTAAATAAATAGGATGTGAAAGCCAAAGAGGACCATTTTTTGGAAGAAGGGTAAGAAGTGAAGGAGGTGGATTTCTTAAAGGCACAGAGTCCTAGAGAGATGGCTCTGTGGGTAAAGTACTTAGCACCCATGTAAAAAGCCAGCTTCATAGGCAATCTTGTGATCCATGTACATACATGTAGGTAAACAGCCATCCACATAAAAATCTTGGGGTTAGAGAGATGGTTCAGCATTTAAAAGCACTGGCTGCTCTTATAGACGAAGACCCATGTCCAACTCTTAAGTATCCACATGGCAGCTCACAACTATAAATAAATTAGTCCCAGGGGATTTGACACCCACTTGGGCTGTGGTGTATTTGGCTCTGCCTGTACATGTATATATACATATTTGGCTGTGTGTGTGTACATATATATGGTACATTGACATACATGTAGGCAAAACTCATACAAAAAGTCTTTTTAAGGAAGGTAGAAATGACAGACATTTGACCACCTACACACACATGAACATGTATGCGAACAAAACTCTTAAATCAACAGAGAAAGGTGAGGGGAGAGAAAGGTTCAAGTGCACTGTGCAGTAGTGAAAAAGTCACGAAATGTTTTGTACAATTCATATACACTAATTAAAAATCCACTGTTTTCCACTGCTGAATCCTGCCCCCATCACCAATGCCAAGCTCTCTCCTGAGCCTCCCTGCAGTCTACCCCCCTCTGTGAAACCCTGAAGATCTGCGGGGGGGGGGGAGGGCTGGAGCAATCTTGCTTCTGAAGCAAGAAGCAACATGACACCTTTTGAATGTGTCTATGGCTTCATTTTCTCTTGTCCTCGGGACTTGGTATAGGACCTATCACATGAAACGGCGACAGAGATTCTAAGTATGATAGTTACCCTGGTTCTATCCCCAAATCACTGCTTTTCTAGGGTCCTACTTGAGCAGTTTGAGCACACAGGACCATGGTGGCTTTTTAACATGGGTCTCTCAACACCAGACTCACACTGAAAGCAGGAACTAAATGTCTGAGCAAAGAGCCTCCAATCCATCTTGGGGAACTCAGGGCTCTAGGGGTGAGCAGAGGTGCATGCTGGGAAACTGCCACCGCAGCTTAGGGAGATCAGTGAAAAAGCTGGTTCTGACCTGGCTCGGGCTCCACCCAGTGTCACAGGGTGTGTCCACATACTTATTACCAAATCCTAGCAACGGCCGAGCAGCACTCCAGTCTAGAGAGGGGACTCATGTGAATGCACACATTCCTCATTCAGGAAGTGATTCCTCCCCAGAGCCAGGGTTGAGTAAGTGTGAGAACTCAACCCCCAGGCCTCGCTGCCAACAGGAGGATCGGAGAGGAGGGTTCACTCCCTGGGTGACCCCACCGTCTTCCAAGTTTTGTGTGGTGGCTCGTGGCTATAATCTCAACACTGAAGAAGCTGAGGCAGGAGGACTGGTGTGAGTTTGAGGCCAGCCAGGGATAGAGTGAGACTGGAGACTGTCTCAAATCGGAGGGGGGAAGGGAGTACTGATTAGAAGTCAGTGTCCGCTGCAGTAGGACAAGACTTAGAGAGCTATGGTGCTGTCTTCAGCTGAGCCGACACCATCCATCTACAGGACTCTAGTTTTTATCTGCTGCCTCGATGTCCTGGGGGGGGGGGCTGAGCAGGCAGAGACAGGTTGTCAGCGATGCACCTGGCTGACGAGTAGTCATAGAGAGGATTTGAGAAGGTAACCCTCACTGTTACCGCTATGGTCTGCCTTCCAGGTCTAACTCTGCAGCGCCCCCTCTGATCATCCAGGCAGATTGCAACACCCATCAGACAGGTGCTGACTCCAGCACACTGCACGAATGTCAAGTGCAACCCCATCAGAAGACAAATGCAAATATCTGGTTTCCCTGTGTCCAGCAGGTGTAGCCAGCCATTTGCCCAAGAACTGAAGGGGGGGGCACTACCTGGGGAGATTACTCATTCAGTAAAGCACCTGCCATGCAAGCATGAGGACTGAGTTCAGACCCTAGCACCCACCCATGCAGAAGAGCTAGGCGCAGGGACTTGAGGTAACCCCCGTGCTCTGAGAAGCAGAGACAGTCCGATCCCTGCAGCTTGTTGGAAAGTTGAGAAACTGAGTGCCGGGCTCAGTAGGAGGCTCTGTCTCAAAATGAATAAATAAATAAGGTAGAAGGACAGAGAGATGCCTTGGTGGTTAAGAGGGCAGGAATTCAGTTCCCAGCACCTATGTTAGGAGGCTCACAACTGTTTGTAACTCCAGCCCCAAAAACCTGATGCATATACTCCACACACACACACACACACACACACACACACACACACACACGTATGGTATGTATATGTGTACATTTCCTTAAAAAAAAAAAAGGTAGAAAGTGATTGAGGAAGACACCAAGATTGACCTCTGACCTCCATACACATATTGTACACCACATACAAAAATCGCACACATAAAAATCCTGTTTTAAGTTTATGGTATGTGTTGAGCCACATTTGTAGCTATTTTTAACCAACCATGTATGGCCTGTGGGTCATAGGGTATACCTGCCTGACAGAGGATGTTCCTTCCAGCCATGTGCTGAAGCTGAACAATCTATTCGTTGAGATTTTATACTTTAAAAAAACTCACCATCTATGGTGCATGCCTTTAACCCCAGCACTCTGGAGGCAGAGGCAGGCAGATCTCTGAGTTTGAGGCCAGCCTGGTCTACAAGAGCTAGTTCCAGGACAGCTCCAAAGCCACAGAGAAACTGTTTCAGGAATTTAAAAAAAACTCTAGATGTACTGTGTATACCCTATACTCAAAGCACTTGGAAGTTTGAGGCAGGAGGATTGCAGTGACTCAAGGCTTGGAAGTACCTGGCCAGTAAGAAGTACAAAGCAAGAGACTGTCTTTAAAATGGGGGGGGGGGCAAGTAGGATGGCTCAGTGAGTAAAAGTGCTTGCTGCATTAGCATGACAACCTGTGTTCCATCCATGGAAACTACAGTTTAAAAGAGAGATACCATAGCATCCCAGAACTTCCACAGCAGAATAAGAGGCAGAGACACAATTTCCTGGAAGCTGGAGCATACAGTGTGGGAGACACAATGGGAATATAAAGAACCCACTCCTAAAAGCTGCCCTCTGACCTCCACATGCCTGCAATGGCACGTGTGTCCTCTCCTCCCCCCTCCCCCGTTTTAATAATTAAATTTTAAAAATAAAGTGTAATCCATCAAACTATGACACTGCAGAATGCTAAGTGATGAACATGAGATGCTCCCCAAACAATAGGGTGTGAGTCCTGGGGGAAAGCCTCTACACCATTACAGCCTGAAGCAGAATAAACGTTGCT